CTAACAACAACAACAAAACTACCTGTAATACTAAACCCATCATCTTGGGGTCATTTCCAACTTAACAGTGATCCTGTGGGCTTGAGTAGAACTGCCCCATAGTGTTTCCAAGGTTGTGATCTTTACAGACTCAGACTGCCACATCTTTCTCCCGAGGTGCTGCCGGTGGGTTCAAACTGCTGACCTTTCAATGAGCAGGAAAGCACTTTAGCCCCTGTGCCACCAGGGATCTTCTTGTAATACCATATTCTATCAATTCTAAGATACATATTATTCCCTGAATTTCAACATACTTGAAGCAAGATACATGTTACAATCAATGGCATCATCATTCAAATGATCATTGTTTTAAACGTTCTTCTTTTTAGTAAGTGCCTGGGTCCAGTTGGTTCCAACTCATAGAGACCCTACAAAGGATTTCCGAGGAGTAACTGGGGGGGAGGGGGGTAACTGTAGACCATGTGCTTCGCAGTCTAGTACTGATCCTATAGCTCTACACCAGGAAGCCACAAAATAATGGGTGTGATTTGGTAGCATAGTGGTTACAAATCGGGCTGCTAACCTCAAGGTCAGCAGTTCGAAACTACCAGCTGTTCCGTGGGAGAAAAATGAGGCTTTCTGCTCCTGTAAAGATTTGCAGCTCCGAAACCCTGTGAATCGGAACCGACTCCATGGTACTTAACACCAATTGTAGATTTGATGAAATATGGTCTACTATTTATAAATTTAAGACTTCATTGAAAAAAATTTAAATACATAATTTTTTTTCCCCAAAAATCTAACCACTGGAGTCGGTGAAAGAGTTAAAGCAAACAAACAAATAAAAAAACACAAAACACCAATGTATTTCCTTCATAATAAATTTCTCAGAGTTAGTTATCTTAAGCATCATGACTGAATATTTACTATATGAATATTTACTATATATACCCAAGCCATGGTATTTGCAATAACCTCATATGCATGCAAAAGTTGGACAGTGAATAAGGAAGACCTTAGAAGAATCGATGCTTTTGAGTTACGGTTTTGGAGGAGAATATTGAAAGTGCCATATGCTGACAAAAGAACCAATAGATCCGTTTTGGAAGAAGTGCAGCCAGAGTGCTCCTTGGAGGCCAGGATGGCCAAACTTCGTCTCTCATACTTTGGACATATTGTCAGGAGGGACTAGTCGCTGGAAAAGGACATCATGTTTGGTAAGGTGGAGGGTCAGAGAAAACAAGTAAGACCCCCAAAGAGATGGATTGGCCATGTGGCAGCTTCGATGGCAGCATGGCAACAGTAGTGAGGTTGGCCAAGGATCGGGCAGTGTTTCGTTCTGCTGTGCATAAGGTCGCTATGGGTCGGTACCGACTCGATGGCACCTAACAACAACAACAAACTCGTGGTGTGGCACTGCGGGTTAATGCGCTGGACTGCGGGGTCGGTTTGAACCACAAGGTTGACGGTTCAAGCTCACCAGCTGCTCCTTGGAAACCCTATACAGAGTCTCTATGGGTCAGAATTGACTCGACGGCATACATCAACATCTACTACATAGTTCTTATTTAACAACAAAAATGATTCGGCTTCCATGTGTTGATCTTAGCGTTGAAGAATTGGTAGCAAACTAAGCAGACATAAATCTCTGTCCTAAAGAACTTTACAATCGAGGTACAAAAGGACTTTCTTCAAAAAGCTCAGGGGAAAATAGAGTGAAAAGATAATGGATTTTTCCATGAATTTTCTAAAGCCCCCTCATATCTCTGTAATATTTTTAAATGGGATACAAAATGCATTCTATGTAATAAAAAAACCTGTCAATTATTTGCTTTATTTACAACTCCAATTTATTGTTGATTGGTTCAGGAAAAGTTTGAGCATAAACCAAATGAAACATAGTATGTGAATGCTGAGAATCTGAAAATTAATTGCATCATGAGTGTGTGTTTGTGTGTGTTTAGTAAGTAAAGTAAAGGTGATATTTATTTAAATACCTCCAGTTTGTCAGTTCAAACCCATGACCCACTGCTCATAAACCCTATATAGCATCCCTATGAGTTGTAAGCAACTTGATGGCACTTAACTACAGAAAAGGTGTGTAACAGGGTCAGGATTACTGACACAGACAGGCACCCTCATTCAGTGCCCATACCAGATTACTCCATGGCCAGATTAGACTTTTTTCTCTTTAGGACTTTAAGGAGTAGGGACGGGGGGGAGAAAGCATGACAAGAAAGCCCTACAGCCTGAGGATGGAGAAATCGGTTTATTGTGCCATGTTGTTGGGGGTTGATGGGAATGAATGGGAGAAGGCTGCTGTATTTGAATGTCCTCTGAAGCTCTACTGGAAAGATTCAGCCAAGAATGGAAACCCCTTTTTATTGTTTCTGGCTTTGGAACTGTGTGTCCCTTGTAAATATTCCTAACAGCACTTCAGAGGGACTTAGCCATGATCAGATTCAATCAGGAGCAGGGACTAGACAGACCAGTTCATCCATTCCTGGGGAATTCTTGTTACTGGAACCTTCTCATTTGCAATTCATGGGCTATGCTCATCACACTGAGTTTGTTCCCTAAAAGAGTTAGTAAAGGGATGACCTGGAAACAGCACCAAGGCTAAAGCTCACCTGATGAATTGTAACCTGGACAGTCTGTGCATCACACTCATGTTCTTAACATGATGTGTCACACTGTTTAAGCTCCAGTAATCAACCTGAGTCAGCAACTCATTTGATTGTAAATCTGGTATATACAAGGTAATATACTTGACTTTGAAAGATCCTGATTAACTTGAAATTAACTGGAAATTGTGACGAAAGGTAGTTCCAGTTTTGAATTTTCTGATAAGTTAAACAAGAAATGAAATGCTGAGAATTATTTTAACTGATTGCCTAAGGAACTCCTCCATTAACTGCTACCAAATTATGATACATCTCCGTCCCTGAGGGCTTCTTGAATGAAGGAAGAGAGGAAGACAGATGGCTGTCTCCATTCAATAGGTATTCAACCTCAGGTTCAGTGTAACACTTTGTTTATGGAACCAAGCTGCTCAGAGCCAAATCCCGTTTCTCCAAGAAGTGCTTTGCTATAAAACCGCGGTAGGCCTGAATTTCCGAGTCGAATTAGGTCCAGGCTGGAGCGTGGTGGCTCCATAAGCACTGGGCTGCTAAGGACAAGATCCACAGTTCCAGCCTGCCAGACACCCTGAGGGAGAAATTATGAGGCTTTCTGCTCCCTCGAAGCTGTTGTTGTTGTTAAGTACCGTATTGTTTTTGTTAAGTACCGTGGAATAGGTTTCGACTCATAGTGACCTTGCACAGGGTTTCCGAGGCTGTAAATCTTTACGGGAGCAGAATGCCTCATCTTTCTCCCGTGAACCGCTGGTAGTTCCGAACTGCTGACCTTGAGGTTGGCAGCCCGACTCGTAACCACTACGCTAACCAGAGCTCCTTCCTCGAAGCTGTAAAGCCTTGGAAATCATATATAGGAGCTCTCTGAGTCGAAACCGCATCGAGGCACTTAACAGCAGTGCTGTAAGGCCGTAGTGGAGGTGACACTTGTCTTTTCCACAATGTCAGTACAATCTAGCAGTGTACAATTGTTGTTAAGTGCCATCGAGTCGGTTCCGACCCATAGCGACCCTGTACAGGGTTTCCAAGGCTATAGATCTTTACGGGAGCAGAAAGCCTCATCTGTCTCCCGCGGAACAGCTGGATGGTAGTTTCGAACTACTGACCTTGAGGTTCGCAGCCCGATTCGTAACCACTACGCTACCAGAGCTCCTTAGCAGTGTACAATAGACCTTGCTTTTGAATTCTCAACGCCAAGGAGGATACCCAGATTGTTTTTAAAAAGAGAGAGAGAAGGACCCTGACTCAAGAGGTTTGGGGCCTACACACTTGGGAGCTAGAACTTGGTCCCAATTCCAGCCTGGAAGAACCCCAGAGCGATGCCCCTCAATCTTTTCAGTCCCATAATCTAGGCTTCTACAGGAATCCTTATCCTCAGGCCAACTATGTTCCCGCCCTCTTCGTTGATGGTAGGAGCCACGACATTGGTCGTCTGGCTCGAAACCTCTTAGTGGTCGACATTTCGCACGCTGCCCCACCATTGGCTGGTGTTCAGCAGGGAGGTGGGGCGTGTGCTGAGACCCACAGGGGAAAAAGCGCCCACCTCAGGTGGTAGCTCTTGTCGTTGTCGTCGTCGTCGTCGTCGTCGTCATTGTCACAACAGCGTCTGTGTGAGAGCCGCACAGAGGCTGAGGAGGAGAGGCATGCTCCCTGAGCAGTTACTGGAATCAGAGGGCAGCCATGAGGCCGAGGCCGAGGCCGAGGCCACGACTGAGACAGAGACAGGATTCCCGCCTTGTGTTTCCTGGTGGCTAGTTGGTACCTTTTTGCGCTGTATGGTCAGGAATCTGAACAACTTCTGGAGGAGAGGGAACGCCTTAGAACAGGCGCAGCCTCAGCAGAGAGTGTACTCAAAAGGTACTCCCCATCCCCAAGGGCCTTCCCCTGGAGGCGCCCTCCTCTCGGGGACCCAGGCCTGGGGGGCAAGGGGGGGAGGTGGGTGGGGTAGGCCCGGGTGGCGCCATCGTTTGTGCGGGAGGTAACCCAGAGTTAGAGGCCCCGAGAAATGGTTCTGGCCAAAGGGGCGATGGAGTTGTCAAAGAAGGCCCAGGAGAGGCAGCCGCATCTTGTGCCGATGCGGTGGGATTTCTGGTTGTCATGGATGGATGACCTTGATTCGAAGGTCAATTTGATATCGTTTCGAAAAGAACTTTGCTAGTTCAGGGGGTGGACGACGTTTTTCAGGTAGGGAGGGCGTTTATTGGGGCTCCCCTACCCCAGAACCTGACCCCCAAAGCGGGGACTTGGGAAGACAGGCACTTGGTTGGGAGGAGGCCATTAAAATGGGACAATGGTTATCCAGGCAGATGGTCCCAGCTGAATAGCAGTGGCGCCCTAGTGCTGCCAGGGCCGAGTCTTTAAAGTCCAGTGAACGCCAGCCAAGGGGCCATGTTTGCGCGACGCTGGAATGACTGGGCTGTTCACCAAAAGGTCGTCAGTTCGGTGGTTCGAGCACATCCTGTGGCTCCTCGGGAGGAAGGCCTGACAATCACCTTCCGTAATCTACTCAACAGTAGTGGATCTGGTTTGGTTTGGGAAGGCCATTTGATTTTGAAGGACTCTGTATATATGTTTATAAATGTTTTCACTTTGCTCAAGCTCTTTTAGTATTTGTTCCTTGGAGTTTCCAGGTGGATTCATTTCAGATATCTTGAATATGGTGTGGCGCTGTGGGTTAATGCGCCAGACTGCAAAGCAGTTTGAACTGCAAGGTCGGCGGTTCAAGCTCACGAGCTGCTCCTCGGAAACCCTATACAGGGTCGCTATGGGTTGGAACCGACTCGACTGCACTTCACAACAACAACATCTTTCAATCCATAGGCTATCCTGAGATTAACAATGTGCTTAGTCATTGAAATGGTGGATTTTGCATTAAAAAGAGGCTTGTAGTGTATATACCCTTTGGTTGGTTGATGATGCATGGAGGGAATTGTAACCATGGCAATGAGATGCTATATGATAGGATGAATGTAAAACTAATGTTCTCCCATGTAAACTATCACATAATTCACAATAAAACATTATTCTTTAAAAAAAGAGGAGGGAACAAATCCTCACAGCAACAAACATTCACACACATCCCCACACACAGAGTGGACAGAGAAGGGCAGCTTAGACATTGGATACTCAAATGGGGAGGGGGGACTACAAAGGCAAGAAGTGACTGGCTTACAAGCTTTCAAGAGGGAACCTAGTGCATGGCGGAAAGCAGAATCTTCTCCAGTAGGTACTATTCATTCTGTCTGGGCGGAGCTCATGAAAGGAGATACAGATGGGTAACTCATGATACTGTAGTGAATAATGCTTATCAGGACTGACTATGAGAGTTGGAAATGCAAAGGTAGAAGTTTTGTAACAAGGAAGGGAGTGATTAAATCTCCAGGATAGGAGTGGAGACCTCTGGGACCATCAATAGAGAAGAGCCGAGAGCGGGACCCTACCCAGAGAAACAGAGATGCCTGAGATGGAGGCAGAGATGATGACAGGGAGTGATGAAGTGACTGGGGACTTTGGACCCAGAGAGGGAAAGGGACTGTGGGCCGAAAACTGGGGGGAGGAGGGGGAATTGTTTCTGGAATATACCCTTTGGGTGGTTGATGATGCATGGAGGGGATTGGAACCATGGCAATGAGATGATACACGATGGAATGAATGTAAAACTAAAGTTCCCCCATGTAAACTATCATATAATCCACAATAAAACATTAATAAAAAAAAAAAAAGAGGAAAGGGGAAAGATTTATTAACTTTAGAAAAAAGAAAACATTGAATATTTTTTGTATAAACTTTAGAGTCATTCTTTTGTTTTTCAGTCTTACATAGTTTATTTTGTTGTTGCTGTTGTTAAGTACCATCGAGTCGGTTCCGACCCATAGCGACCCTGTATAGGGTTTCCAACGAGCTGCTGATTAGCTTGAACTGCCAAGCTTGTTGATCAAACTGACTTGCAGTCCGGCACGTTAGCCCACAGCGCCACACCAGTACTCCATAGTTTATTTTAGTTCCATGTAATTTTCGATTAGCAGCAGTTTCAAAATTTTATTCATTTTTCATGAAGGTTTTTGAAATAGAAAATGGTTTCGTTGGATGGCATCCACATATAAAATGTTTTAGTTCTTTTTATCAGTCTGATATAGTCCATATTTGTTTAAACTTTTTGGTAGAGTGTTTTCAGTGATTGGTCAAGTGAAATTTTTCTGTAGATGACAAAACTTAAAGATGATTATGTTTAATTTATAACAATTTTTTTAAATTCAGTCAAGGTTTACAGACAAGATCATTAGTTGTACATTCAACAAATCATTTATTTAGTTTCATCTCAATGATTGAGATCCCATCCATGCAACAACAGTTAGCCCGCTTCATCCTTGTGGTTGTTGTTGTTAAGTGTCATCGAGTCGTTTCCGACTCACAGCGACCCTGTATAGGATTTTCAAGGAGCAGCTAGTGAACTTGACCCACTGACCTTGCGGTTCAAATCAACCTTGCAGTCCAGCGCATTAATCCACAGCTCCACATACCATGTACAAATATCCTCTTTCAAACTCTTATGTATTTGTGGGCTGTTTATTTGTTGTTGGTGGTGTTATGTGTTGTGGAGTCGGTTTGGACCTATAGCGGCCCTGTACAGGATTTCCGAGGCTGTAAATCTTTACGGGAGCAGAAAGCCTCATCTTTCTCCTGCGGAACAGCTGGTAGTTTCAAACAGCTGACCTTGCGGTTCACAGCCTGATTCGTAACCACTACGCTACCAGAGCTCCTGGGCTTGTATATACATATCTAGCTATCTATATCCCATTCTTCCTCTTATACCTGTTCAATCAGTGTCTCTGTCCATGTAGCTACACACAGGACAGAACACTGCTGTTCCAAAGTTGTGTATATATCACTAGTTATCTCTATCCCTCCCTGTGTCTTTACCTATTTCCATCATTTCTTCTGCCAACCTCCCTCTGCTTATACATTGATTGGCCTCCCGTTCTTGTATATTGCTCTCCTCATCACCTGCGTTAACTGTGGTGTGTTGCTATAGCATCAGCACTGGACTGAAAACCACAGGGTTGGCAGCTCAAACCCACCAGCTGCTCTTCAGAAACCCTAGACAGGGTCACTATGAGTTGGAACCTACTCGATTGCACTTAACAACAACCCTTTAGCCAGTGCATACTCTCCCTTCCCTCCCACTCCTGGAAACCATCAAAGAATGTTTCTTTTAGTATGAATACCTTTTGGGGGTTTTACAATATTTGGTCTCATACAATATTTTTCCTTTTGTGATTGACTTACTTCACTCAGCATAATGTCCTTCAGGTTTATCCATGTACAACAATAATTTCTAAAAGTAAAAGCCATTATTGGAATCACAAAAGTAACACAAAACTAAAGTTAGTTAAACTTTCGATAAAGTATTTCTAGATATAGTAATCTTAATTTTAAAGTTGTAATGCATAATAATTAAGAGACATGTTATTAAATAGTCAGTGTATAGTAAGAACATACTAAGATATAATTAAGCCCTTAAATATTTTAATAGTAATATGGAGTGTATTCTTCAGTTCAAATTATTTCTGTTAATGATGCTAGGTTTTGAAGACAATAAAGTTCTGATTAAGTTATTATTTGAAATAATGTAGTCATGACATACTATTATGTGCTGGGTATCTAATATTAGATGAACATTACTGACATATCAGTTTACCCTAAATAAATTTTGGCATATTTCTTGCCTTGGGAACATGTCCTACATAATTCATAATATAATGCATAAACATTTTAAAATTATTAGTTTATTAAACAAAAACAGTTCTATGGCTTTTTGTGAAATTGTAAGGTTTTTAGGAGTTATTATAGGTGAATAAAAAGCAATACTTGAGTTATTTAACTAGAGATTTAAAACGTAAACTTCAGTTTTGGTTTTTTTATTTGTTTGTTTTGTCTTGCCCTATGCTTGAGATCTTTGTTATGGTAAATTTGTTGTTTGATGGATCATTTTGGTGAGAATTTTCCTTAAATGAGTTCTGTGGATGATATCTTCTTCTGCTCTTGGCCCAACAGTAAGTGATGCCTAGATTGATTTGCAAGGATTTGTGGCTTTCTGCCCTTAGCTTTTTGGTGTGTGTCACATGGTGCTGATCAGATTGTTTTTCCTTTGAAATTATTTTTCAGTTGCAAGTTTTCTAAGTTATGTGTTTCCCTCTTTATTGTAATTCAGGAATTATACAAGGAGCATAATAGTTATGAATCGGGCTGTGAACCATAAGGTTAGCAGTTCGAAACTACCAGCTCTTCCATGGGAGAAAGATGAGGCTTTCTGCTCCCGTAAAGATTTACAGCCTCGGAAACCCTGTACAGGGTCGCTATGAGTCGGAACCGACTCCACGGCAGATAACAACAACAACAATGCTTAATATAAAGTCCCAGTGTGGTACTGGACTGCTAACCACAAGGTCTGCAATTCTAACCCACCAGCTGCTCCTTGGAAACCCTAAACTGACTTGATGGCACTTAACAACAACAACATGCTTAATGCATAACTTTTTATTGTTAATTGGGTATAGATCAGATCACTCTTCCATTCAACAACTCATACACAGTTTGCAATCCCCACAGTATGTATAACATCATTGATCCTACTTCCTCCCCTATTTCCTGTTTCCATTCCTCCTTCTTTCCTAATACTTCGGAAATTTGTCCTTGGGTAAATGCTGGCTGCCCTTTTGATATCAAATGGTTGATTACTCTTAAGGTATGTGTACCTCCCGAGTGTTATCCTAACCCCGCTTTTATTGTTTGACTGAAAGTTGAGCTATGGGAATGAGTTCATTTCCAGACCTGAAGGGTGACTAATAGCCATAGTTTCAGGAATTCCATCCGTGTCTACCCAATCAAGAAGCCTGGTCTTGTTTTGCTTTTTGGTTTTGCATTCGGGGCCACAGTTTTCTTACGTTCTTTCAAGGAAGGACCTTCTAATGTGATTTCTTTCAGAGAAGTCGTTAATGGTAGCCAGGCACTATCTAGATCTTCTGGTCTCAGGGTCTTGGAGACTGATGTTTATGTTGTCCTTACGTCCATCAGAATAATTATTTCTGTGCATTTCAACTTTTTTCTCTGGTCTTTCCTCTGGACAGAGAGAGACTAATAGTTGCACTTTAGATAGCCGCTCCTGAGATTTTAAGGCCCCAGTGGCTACACACCAAAGTAGAATATAGGCTGGAGAACATCATCTTTTTGGACTGTGTTATGCCAGGTGACCTTGTTGGTCCCCCAAGACCATGGTCCTGAGTTTTCAGACCCTGTGACTCATTCTTCCAAGGTGATTGGTTATATCTAAGACGTTTACATAACTTTACCCCCTGTATGCTTCAACACATTCATGTGTATATTTGCAGCAAACGTAAGCATACTTTTACAAATACCCTGTCAAACCTATATATATACTATTGGACATGCTCCTACTCTCCTTTCCACACCTTTTGTGCCTGCTGTGTATCTAACCATGTATCTACTCGTGGTGGTGGTGATGTGCCGTGGAGTCAGTTCTGACTCATAGCGACCCTGTATAGGGTTTCCGAGGCTGTACATCTTTATGGGAGCAGAAAGCCTCATCTTTCTCCCATGGAACAGCTGATGGTTTCATAAATCTCCATTATTTCAGAACTGTGTATATAACAGTATTTATGTCTCTTAATTTTAACTCTTGGACTTCTCCCAATGTCTTCCTTGACTTTCATCATTTTTTGCTGACCTCCCTCTTAATTATGTTTTGACTTCTCCTTCAACCTTGCCTGGTCACCATCATAGAATGTTTATATAATACCATGAAAACATTTTCTTGACTTTGCACCATAATGTTCTCATACAATATCCATCCCTTTGAGACCAACAAATTCCACTCAGTTTGAATTGCAAGATCGGCTGTTTAAATCTACCAGCCACTCCTCGGAAACCTTATACAGGGTTACGATGAGTCGGAACCAACTCGGTGGCACTTAACAACAACAAATGATTAATGAAGGAGCCTAGTGGATTATGAGCTAGGCTGTTAACTGCAAGATCGGTAGTTTGAATTTAGTAGTCACTCTGAAGGAGAAAGATGAGGCTCTCTGTTCTCGTAAAGGTAAATCTCAGAAACATTTTGTGGCTCTGCATCTTGGACATTTGCTTGAACCGCTTTCTCTTGTTTCATCATGTGAACTGAAATGGTCTAATGTCTCTGAGACATCGTGGTGTCATTGTGCTTGTATTTAATTAATGATTTTATGTTGGTGTATTCTTAGTTTCTCATCATTTGCCTCCTGGTGGGTATAATTGTTGTTGTTATGTGCCGTCGCGTCGGTTCCGACCCATAGCAACCCTAAACAGGGTTTCTGAGGCTGTAAATTTTTACGAGAGCAGAAAGCCTCATCTTTCTCCCGCAGAGCGGCTAGTAGTTTCAAACTGCTGATGTGGTGGGTATAATTAGAAAATGGAAATGTGTGCCCAGTTCTCAGTTCATCATCCAAGCATTCAGTTTTGGGTGGCTTTAGCTGGTGTTGACTTCTGATCAGGTTATAATAGGAACTGATGGACAGAGCTTCAGAGGGCACAGTTGTGTTTGGGTTGTGTATGGATTCTGTCTGTTTTTCAGGTGGGACAAAAAGAAAATATACACACGCACACAAAAAATTAAAGCAATTAAGCAAACAGTAATAAAAAAAAATACTAAAGGAGAAAACTAATTTTAAAAGAGACAGCTCCAAGAAAAAGTGTATAATATCTGAGAAGTGACAGTAAAATAGAATTATAGAAGGGGAAAATAGTAATAAATAAACACACACACACACACACACACACACAACGAGGGAGAAAGAAGATGAAAAGAGAGACTAGAGAGTAGTAAAGAAAGCTCAAGAGAAATAAAAAACCAACAGAAAAAAAGGAGAGAAATGGGAAAAGAGAAAAAGAAAAGAAAGCAGAGACAGAAATGATAAAAAGGAAAAGGGAAGAAGAAAGAATAAAATAAGAAAACCAACAAAAGGGAAAAAAGCTGTGCTGGACCCAGAGAGAAGAAAACTCTGGGGGACTCGTATTAATCATGATGTGCTAGGGAGAAGAATGAGATCGTTACCATTCCTGGCCCTAAATGGAGTTCTCATAGACCCAGGCGTTGTTTGTGTGAAGCAGAGGGTTGTCAGAGGCTGGGCGGCCTGCCACAGAGGTCCCACCAGTTTAAGGCCTATCAGGCAGTTCTGCGGGCTTTGTATATCTGGAGCAGAGTCAGCTCAAATCCAAGCTCCAAGGCAGCACAGCACTGGTTAACCTCTCTTTGATACAGTCCACAACTTTGCAGCTGTGAGCTCCCAGACAGCAGGAGACTGTCCTGGGGGGTGAGAGTAAGGGCTGGCCATTCCTCTGGTCACCAGGGGAGCATGGGCAATAAGAAAGAAGCACATCTTTCCAGCGGTCAGTCCCCTGGTGAATCTGCAGCTGTCAGGTCGCTGTGTGTCTCTGAAGCTTCAGGCAAAAGTTCAAAATGGCCACACAGAGTCTTCTTGGGAAACTGTTCACCAGTATGTGAACCTCTTTCGCTGCCCCTGCTCTCAGCCTCTCCTCCCAGTAAATGTTTGATCCACTTCTCCAACTCTTTTTCTTCTGAAGCTCAGGGCTCAAGAATTATATCATCTGTATGTGTTTCATTTGATCTCCCTTATCTTTTTTGTAGAGGGTCTGAGTAGCATACCTGCCTAGTCCACAATCTTGATTCCTCCTTGATTTGTATCTCTGTGGCGCTGGACTGTTAACCTCAAGGTCAGTGGTTCAAACCCACCAGCTGCTCCTTGGAAACCCTATACAGGGTCGCTATGAGTTGATACCAACTCCACAACACTTAACAACAACAAATGATAATGATCGCCAGTTTCCATATTCTGAACCTCTGTGTTCCCCGTCTATGGAGCTTTTCTGCTTGCTAAGATTGAACCCCCTTGCTAGATGGCTGATTCTTAGCTTTTGTCTTAGAAGGCTGCGTACATTTTAGCTGCAGTCCCTCAGGTAGCATCCAAAAGGCCCCATGAAAGAGTCTTTGGCAGCTTCCCATGTGCCTGAACAGCAGCTGTCACCCTTGCCTCTTAACATTTCTTCTGTGTTAATGATTTCATCTAACGAATGTTACCCAGTTATTCACTTTCAGTATTATCCTAGTTTCTGATTCTTTAATACAGTATAAACAATATTTCTCCCATCCATCCTGTCAGTTCACCAACATCTTTGTGGAGAAGGCTGTAGTGTTGAGGTTCAGAGAGACCCTGCAAGCAGTCTGCCTGAGTTCAGATCTCAAGTCCCCATGTGATTCAGATGCATTTTTAAGCTAGACTTAAATCTCCCTGATTGATTTCAGTGCTTTGTCTGGTGAGGTGTTTTTGTTTTGTTTTTTAGTTTTAAAAATCCCATCATATATGTTAACTTTATATTTTACAGTTTGTTTTTTACTATAGCAATATATATGGTGGGTGGTGGTGTGCCGTTGAGTTAGTTTCAATTCATAACCACCCTGTCTGTAGGGAATTTCTGAGGCTGTAAATCTTTACAGGAGCAGAAAGCCTCATCTTTGTCCTGTGGACTAACTGGTAGATTCAAACTGCTGATAGTGTAGTATGTTACAAGTTAGGTTAGCAGTCTAACTCGTGAGGAGTCAGATTTGACTCAAAAGCAAGTAGATTTGGTACCACGTATAGAAATCTGATTCTGAAGTTTATTGTTTCTGCGTATGTGGCCTGCTTCCTCATTTAATTAGTAATATTTTAAAACGACGAGCTCACATTCATCTTTTATTTGTAGAAATGATTTAAAGCCTAGATTTCAAATACATTCCTCTGGGCAGAGTTAATATTTACTTATTTCATGTACTTGTATGAAAAACCAATTTGGAATCACTCTAAAATGTCTGCAAGTTTGTTAGGCCCGACATTATGAATTTAGGGTTCAAGCTCAGGATGTGCACTTACAGGAATACTCTGGAAATTCATCTTTTGCTTTTCCTTCTGTTGTTGTTGTTGTCACACTATCAAGGCTCCTTTGCAATACATATAACAAAATATTTGCCATTTCAACCTTTTTACATGTCTTATAATCCAGCCACACCCATATACTTCTCAGGCTGCACAACCATTACCACTATCCATTTTCAAATCTTTTTATCTCTCGCTTTCCTTTTTTCCCCCTTCTTCCCTTTCCTTTTTTTCTTTTACAGGAAAGTTACCAATGATTTGCCCTAATGAGAAACTATATATGCATTGTTTACCTTTGATGAGGTGTTTAAGGATCTCTAGCTGGTGCTAGTAATAATGAGAACATTATATGACAATGATATGGTTAATTGCTGTTCTGTGGATTCTGACTTATTATGGTCCCATGTGTTCACAGTATAATTACCCCATATGGTTTTCAAGGCCGTGGTTTTTAAGAAACAAATCACCAGTCTGATTTTTCAAGGCACTTCTGGAGAATGAATGCTTAAAGACTCTGTAAATGAAGGTGTGATGATAGCATTTAAGTGCTAACTTGTGTGAGGCAGTTGGAGTTCTAAGCTGTTTACACGGATGTGTCAGTTAATACAACCCTATTGGTGGTGTGCCGTGGAGTTGGTTCCGACTCATAGCGACCCTTCATAGGGTTTCCGAGGCTGAAAATCTTTACAGGAGCAGAAAGCCTCATCTTTCTCCCGCGGAACGGCTGGTAGTTTCCAACTGCTGACCTTCAGGTTAGCAGCCCGACTTGTAACCACTACGCTACCAGAGCTCCTTAACAACCTTATTGTTGTTGTTATGTGCCATGGAGTCAGTTCCAACTCATAGCGACCCTGTACAGGGTTTCCGAGGCCGTAAATCTTTATGGGAGCAGAAAACCTCATCTTTCTCCTGCGGAACAGCTGGTAGTTTCGAACTGCTGACCTTGAGGTTCACAGCTCGATTCATAACCACTACGCTACCAGAGCTCGTGGGCTGTATATACATATCTATCTATCTATCTATCTATCTATCTATCTATCTATCTATCTATCTATCATCTATCTATCTATCTATCTATCTATCTATCTATCTCCCACTCTTCCTCTCATACCTATTCAACCAGTGTCTCTGTCCATGTATCTACACACAGGACAGAACACTGTTGTTCCAAAGTTGTGTATATATCACTGCTGACCTTGCCGTTCGCAGCACGATTCGTAACTACTATGCTAACAGAGCTCCTTAACAGCCTTATCAGGCAGACGTTATTACTGTCCTGGTATTACATATAAAAAGACCATCAGAGAGGTTAAGAAATAAATGTGCATGTGCTCAGATCACACAGAGGGTAAGTAGAGGATCTGTGGTTCAAACCTAGGTCGTCTGGTTCTAGACTCAGTGTTTTTAACTACTTCGCTCCATTGCCTGTGGCATGTAGTTAGTGTTCGATACAGAGAAAAGAGGAAACTGGATTTCTGTTTTGAGATTAATTAATACACTATTTTCGTTACCCATTTCACAGGTGACTGCAAGTTGAAAACTGTGCAGGGAGTTGTGACCAGGTTCTGTAATAACTACAGCTTGATTAACGAGTTGATCTCTTTCACTAACGATGTTGTGACTGGCGGTGTGCTTCTGAAAGTTGGGCAAAAAGTGACCGCACTTGTGAGAGAAGATGAAACATCTCATGGATTGAAGGCAATCAAAGTAAGATCTGCAAGAGTTTGGGGACAGTCTCTATTTCTGGTGTGATTTGAGCCTTGCTTTCCTAGTATTCATTTAACATCTTTGATGTATCCAGTATAATGGATGACAAGTAGAATTTGAAGTCCTATTTATCTAATTGTGTGGGTGTTTTTGTTCTGATATCTGTTATCTTTTCTGTTAATAGACTTAAAGATTGCATATGTGTTCTTCGGGCATTTAAAATACATGGTTGACATTGATGATGAATTTGATCATTATTAACTTCCTCTTTAACATAAAAAATTACTTTCTCTGTAAGTGAAGTTTGCTAGGTCAAAGGACATGCATTTTAACCATTTTTAAAAAGTGCTTTACTGAGATGTAATTGACATAACATAAAAATACCCCACTTTAAGAGGATAATTGAAAGCCTTCTTAGTAAATTTGCAGTGTTGTACAACTAGATAATTACCATTTTAATGGCCATCAACAAATGATCTTTCAGCTTCACTGTACTGATTTACAGTCTCAGCAGCAGGATGTGACACTGCCTGTTTACCAGTATTGACAAGCATAGAGATATTCTCGGCCTCTAAAATCTTGGCCAATCTGAGAAGTGAAAAAAAATCTCATTTTATTTTGCCTCTGTAAAAATGTTAGTGAGAGTAGAGCAACTTTTCTATTATCATTGTCGTTGTTATGTGCTGTGGAGTCGGTTCCAATTCATAGCGACCCTGTGCCCAACAGAACAAAGCACTGCCTGATCCTCTGCCATCCTCACAGTTCTTATACTTGAGCCCATGGCTGTTGCCACTGTGCCAATTCATCTCATTGGGGCTCTTCCTCTTTTTCACTGACCTTCCACTTGACCAAGCATGATGTCCTTCTCCAGGGACTGGTCCCTACTGATAATATGTCCGAAGTATGAGAGATCAAGTCTCGCCAACCTGTCATCTAAGGGGTATACTGCCTCCAAGACAGATTGGTTTGTTCTTTTGGCGGTCCATGGTACTTTCAATATTCCTCTCCAACACCGTAACTCATTCATCAATTCTTCTACAGTCTTCCTTGTTGTCTAATTTTCATTGTCCAGTTTTCACATGCATATGAGGCTATTGAAAATACCATGGCTTGAGTCAGGTGCATTTTAGTCTTCAAATGATACCGTTGCTCTTGAATCCTTTGAGAAGGCTTTGTGCAGCAGAGTTGCCTAATCCAGTATGTCATTTGAGTTTGTAACTGCTGCTTACATGAGCATTGATTGTGGAGCCAAGCAAAATTAAGTCTTTGACCATTTCAATCTTTTTTCCATTTAGCATACTGTTATTTATTGGTTCACCTGTGAAGATTTTTGTTTTCTTTCCATTGAGATGCAATCCATATGGAAGGCTATTATTGTTGTTGTTGTTATATGCTGTGGAGTCGGTTCCGACTCATAGCAATCCTGGACAGGGTTTCCAAGGCTGTAAATCTTTATAGGAGCAGAAAGCCTCATCTTTCTCCTGTGAAACAGCTGGTAGTTTTGAACTGCTGACCTTGTAGTTCACAGCCCGAGTGGTAACCACTACGCTACCAGAGCTCCTTAGGCTTTTATTAGAGCTATTTATATATTGGGATCATTAGAACTATTTGTTTGTTAGGGAAATTAGAGGTTTATTAGGAAAATTATCCTAGGAAGGCTTTGCGAATATTTCCTCCAAGACCTTCATTGACTTTGTTTTATAGAGTATAATTTTTACTTACTCTATATATGTTCATCTTGTCTATTATGGCTTTGGGGTTCAGTAAAATTCCTCTAACTCACCCACTTGCGTGGAGCTGATTCTGACTCCTGGCGACCCTCTAGGACAGAGTAGAACTGCTCCATAGGGTTTCCAAGGTTGTAAATCTTTATGGGAGCTGAAAGCCTCCTCTTTTTACCATGGGGCACTGGTGGGTTTGAGCCCCCACCTTGTGATTAGCAACCCAACACTGAAATCACTATGCTACCAGGGCAGCTTAGTCTACTTTATAATCCACGCAAATATTCACTTAGGTTTTCTTCCGAAAGTTATGTGTTGTTGTTGTTGTTAAGTGCCTTCGAGTCAGTTCCGACCCATAGCGACCCTGTACAGGGTTTCCGAGGGTGTAAATCTTTACAGGAGTAGAAAGTTATGTAGTCATATCTAATTATTTAGTTTAAATGGAATTTAGCTCTGGTAGTGCAGTGGTTATGAGTTGGGCTGCTAACCTCAAGGTCAGCGGTTTGAAACTACCAGCTATTTCCTGGGAGAAAGATGAGGCTTTCTGCTCCCGTAAAGATTTATAGCTTCGGAAATCCTACATAGGGTCGCTATGAATCGGAAGTGACTCCATGGCACTTAACCAATCAAGCATAGACTGAAAGAAGGACCCAGATCTTGTTTTATGGTTTGTGTTTTTTTAGCGGCTACCCAGTTGTTCCCACACCATACCATTAACTCCAAAATCCACCTTTTATGTACTGAGTTGAAATAGTACCTCTGTTATACATATGATTACACTGCATTACAATACCACAAGCATTTGATATCTATTGGGTCTCCCTATAGTATGTCTCTGGTAGCGTAGTGGTTACAAATAGGGCTGTGAGCCGCAAGGTCAGCAGTTCGAAACTACCAGCTGTTCTGCGGGAGAAAGATGAGGCTTTCTGCTCCCGTAAAGATTTCCAGCCACGGAAACCCTGTACAGGGTTACTATGAGTCGGAACCGACTCCACGGCACATAACAACAACAACAACAACATTGTATTCTATTGGTTGTGTTTTATCTTGGTATTATGTTCAAAAGGTTTGGCTTCCTGACACATGATAATGTTTTAAAATGCATGTCAGTATTTGGTAACCTAATTTCCCTGTCAAACTTTTATTTATTCTGATTTTTAATTTTTCAGGCCATTTTACACCTGTTAGTTTTTCTGGGCACATTTTTAAATCACTCTGTTAAATGTCCACTCTCCCAACAACAATAACAACAACAAAAGCTGTTTGTATTTTCTTTTGAGATAACACTTGAGTTTCGCAATTTAATATAGAGAAAATAGATGCATTGGTAGTAGTCGTTCCCAACAAACCATATCTCTCCTCTTCTATACTTCATAAATGTTTGATAGTTTTCTTTGAATAAGTTCTGCACATTTTTTGCTGAGTTTATTTCCAAGATTTTTTAATTTTTTTGTTCCACGGTCAACATTATTTGACACTGTATTTTCAAGTTGATATTTTCTTCCTACATAGTAAAGTATTGATTTTTGTTATATTATTTGGTGGATTACAAACGTGCTGAACTTTTTCTGCTGCTTTCCTTAAACAGTTGAGATGTATTTTATTACTATTATTTAGATGACAACTGGCCACTGAATGCTTACTATCAATTTTCTTTAAATTCAAATGCAAGAAGGACATGAAATGAGAAAAATTAAATATTCCTTCATGTCCTCCAGCCCAACTTTAATTCCTCACTTTTGATTATTCCTACTTTTAGCTCTTCTGGTGGACACCTGGTTAACTTGAATAATATGCTTATACCTTAAGTTAGCAATATTAGAAAATGTTTATTAATTGCACCACAAACATGTAGTGAAATTTATGTGGTGAAATGAAACAGAATAAAAACTATTGTACTTTCAATAAACAGAGAATTTTGGATGCCTCCCCCTCCTGGTGTGGTGCTGCTAACTATAAGATCGGAAGTTCAAACCCACCAGCCACTTCTCAAAAATCCTATATGGGGGTCACTATGAGTCAAACCAACTTGATGGCACTGAACAACAACAACTATTATAGATAACTTCAAGCCCTGGTTTGACTTGTCATTTTTAAGCGCCCTCTTGGGTTTGAGTTTATGCTTCCAACTTTATCATGTGCTTCTGTCTCTTCCGGGTTCCAATCTTTAATCTCATGGCTTCCCATAATCTCATGTTTTCTAAGCTGAGTTTTCCTCCTTCTACAACTCAGGTTAAATACCATTTAGTCCAAGGAACTCTCCGATACTCCCAGTCTGAATTTCTCTCCTTCCAGGAGCTGGTTTTAAATTTGTTTTATGGCTTTAAAGCTTGCTTTGAATTATTTTTTTCTGTTATCCCCAGTAATTGTGAACTCCTGGAGGGCAGGGGCAGTATATTTATTTTTTAACTTTGTATCTAATACTATCATGGAACTCTGATAGCGTAGTGGTTACAGTCAGCTGCTCCGTGGGAGAAAGATGAGGCTATCTGCTTCTGTAAAGAGTTACAGCCTTGGACACCCTCCCTATACAGTGTGGCTGTGAGTCGGAACCGACTCCACGGACCCCGCCACCACCATCTAATACTATCAGCACATTAAACTTGGTGCATCCATGATCTTTGTAAACCTGTTTTTAGATGCATTTTAACAATATATGATACCCACGTATTTTACCATCATTTCACATGTAGAATATATTTTTCAGCTGAAAGTTATCAACTGTTGAGTATAGTTGTTTACAACATTTGTGGAAAAACAATGAGATAAGTATGTGATTTTTAAACTTTTCTTATGTTTGAAGTAACTGTTTCTCCTTATCTTACAGGTGGATGTTTCCTCTGATAATTGTAGACCATCAAAGCCTAACAGCAAAATTTTAATTGGTTATGTTACCTCTCTAGTCAAAAATGGTGGATACATTAATAAGACAGCTTACTTTTCTCTAGACGTTGTTTGTAAAGGTATGATTTATATATATATTTTTTTACTTAAAAGGACCAATTAGTACATGCTTCATGTTTTAGAAAAATGAAGTACCAGAATGGCTACTGCAGTACACTGTGGCTTTTTCATGTTTGATGTGGACCTTTAGAGTTGAAAATAATGCTTCTAGAACTCATGCTATCATTTATCGTAAAAAACACTCATGCAATCATTTATTGTATGTGCATTTATTGAATGTAGTCACTAATATTTGGATTTTTAAAATTCATATAAATATTGAATTTCCAATGTTACTTAAGACTATTGCAAATATACAGGAATATGTTTGCTCTAAAAATATTTCTAATGCTTCTGATACGATACGGAGATAGCATTGTACCTTTCCTGGTGTATATGTGTGTGTTTCTGTGCTCATGCGCATGTGCATACGTGTACACCCATTGTTGAAGCCTGTTCGTGATTGTCAGATACATTATAAGATCTCATTTATACCTAAAGTGATCTCTTTTTTTCTGCTATTTTAGTTTAATTAGCTGCTATGTAGCTTGGGTACAAAAAAGGAGATTAGCTCAGCCCCACTAGGCAGTTTGCATCTTTACTTTTCTTGGATGTAAAAGCCAGAATTCTGACTTAAATTACGTTTGAAAGTTTCACCTTGCCTGATTTGTTGAGAAGAAACTATCTGGGGCAAGGATGAAATCAGGAAGACTAGTTCATATTGTACCTGATGCATTGTAATAATCTTGGTGAGAGATGATAGAAACTTGGAGCAAGGTAGGAGTGGAGTGTGTAAAGAGGGGTTCGAGGTGGGTCTGTTTTAAGGGTAGCAATGAAACTGTTGGTTGATGGAGTGAATCTTTGGCATGAAGGAAAGAGGAATCAGACATTACTCCAAAGTTTTTGATTGGAGCAGTGTTAAGAGTGAAATTGCCTATTGGAAATGTGGAAGACAGAGAGGCACAACACTGGGAGCATGAGAATAGTAAGAGCTCAACTTAAAACAACTTGACTAGGTACTTGGATAAATGAATCTGAGATTGGTTAGAGTTGGAAGTATACACATTCTGGATTCATAAGCCTATGGATATTATATAAAGCCACAACAAATAAATGGTGTGAGTGAGAACACCAGAGAACAGGTCTAAGGCTTATGTTTTGGGTCATTCTAATTTTTGCTTGTAATGGAAATGAGGAGGACCTATGAAGGATAAAGGAAATACTGGATCATAGCACAAACTAATGTTCACATTTAGTAGATCATGCCAGTTTTCTGACGTGGATACACCAAATTATACTCCAATCTTAATAGTGCTTGAGATTTCCTCTTGTTGCAAACCGCCGACATTGCAGTTCAAATGGCTTTGCAGTCTGGTGCATTAACCCACAGCGCCACATCAAATCAGTAGAGGAGAATAAAGGCCTAAAGAACTATAAACTTTTTTTTTATTAGGAAAACACAGCATACTTGTTTTTAAATGTTCAAAATGTATCTTGGTGGTGGTGGTGATTATGTGCTGTGGAGTCGGAACTGACTCATAGCAACCCTGTACAGGATTTCCTTCCGAGGCTGTAAATCTTTACAGGAAGAGAAAGCCTCATCTTTTCCCGGCAGAACAGCTGGTAGTTTCAACAGCTTTGAATTTTTTGTTGAAATAATCTGTTTTCAATAATGGAAGACATTTTAAATGAAAGGAAAACAGATTATCTTTAGGTAATACAGATTTTGTTATAGTTAGTGGTACACATATGTCCTATGGGGTTTCTGGTATTGGGGTTGGCAGAATCAGGCCCATTTCTTCAGATTCACACCGTTATGCAGGTCCCACACAAAAAGTAGAATAGCAGCTTCCCACTAAAGCCCAGAGGTCGAAAATGGAGGTGGGCAATATATATTTCACAGATGACTAGAAATTAGAGATAATTAAACTAAATTTTTCTACATGACTGTTTTAGGGTTCCAGCCTTATCTGGGTGACTGGGTAGAAGCTGATTGTTTTATCCAGCCAGGACCATCGAAACACAGTATAACCTCACTGATGCCCATGTTCTGCAAACACATGGATCAGGTAATCCAATGAGTTGTTGCACATGTCATTTGTTTCTCCCAAGCCTTCCATTAATAATAATTGCTGTTGTTTGTTATTGTCATCAAGTCAGTTCCCTGTATAGGATTTTCAAGGCCGAAAATCTTTGCAGAAGCAGAAAGCCTCATCTTTCTCCCATGGAGCGGCTGATGGGCATGAACCACCAGCTTTGTGGTTCACAGACCCGTGGTTATCCTAAAGAGCACTCTCTCCATTAGTGATGATTTCCACTAATTCTAGTGGGTGTGCTGGGAAATCTAGAAAAATGGGAGAAAACAGATTCTTAATCTAAAAGGAGCCCATTTTCTTATTGACAAGGCTGCACTGCTGAAAGGAAGTAATTAGAGAATTATACAGAAAATATATGAAATTAAGTTCTAAATTACAGAGTTTATTTGAGAAATCTTAAAATGTTCTGAACACAGAAGTGACAAAAACAATTTGTATGCCAGATAATTGTTGGGAAAGAGTGAATGAAGTGGATCACGAGACTTGGCTTCTCTGTAAAAACTGGGTTTTGATTTGAGTAGTAGAGACTGAAAATGAATTGGAAATTTCATTTGCACAAAGGCGCAGATGGAGGAATGAGCCAGGAATGTGACAGAGGAAGTCTGGGAAAAAAGATCATCAACTAACCGCCATATTCCTTTCTTACTCAACCCCTTTCATTCTCTCAACTGGAACTGTGGTTAATAAACATTTTGTGTAATATTTAGAGTAGTATATTTCATCTGAGATCCATCCACAGAAAAATATGATTTAATTGGTCTGAAGTGGGGTCTGAGCATGGGCATATTGTTATAAAGCATCCCTGATATTTCAAAAGTGTCATTCACACTAGGAACCACTGATTAGAGGTGATCTGCAGCATAAAGCTGGTAGTGTATGGTTTAAAATAAATATTTCCATGTGTTATATCCACAGGTCTGCATTACTGCTTTCTGTGGAAGAGGTGGGGTGATAAATAATAATATCTTCTTCGTCTTGGAGTCTCTGAAAATTGCTGATGGATACATACCTCAAAAACTTGATGTCGTCAATGTGGTCATGGTGAAGAGCGTTCAGTCACAATATGGTTGGAGAGTACTTTCTATGACACTAGTGGAAAGGTAGTTGTAAGAAAACAATGTTTATATTCCTTGTGCAGCAGATTTGTCTGAGTGTCCGAAAGCTTGCTCTAAATATTTTTGAAAGAAATGGTAATTGTAGAAGTAGAATTTCTCAAGTAATTAAGATATACCTTCTCAAGTAATTAAGATTTACCGGAGTGTGTTGTCTAAACAGAGTATGTGCATAGTGGATTAATGAGATCCCCTTCTTAGCCCTTTCTAATAATCTTGTATTGATACTTTTCATTATATTTGGACCATATATTCAAATTGTGGTGAAAATAAATGCAATATATGACAATCTGAAAATGTTTACATGGAAACTTCAGTGATGTTGATTATAGTCTTCAATTGTACAACCATTTCTTCTATCCTTTTCCACAAGAAAATTTTTTCATCCCATCATTAACATGAACACACAAACATTTTTTTTCTATCCTTTTCAAAATTCATTCCACCATCATTACCATAAGCTAGATGCACCCTAAGCAAAACTCCTCTTTTCCCACATCCTCCCACCCTTGGTAATCACTATTAAATTTTTGGTTTCCAGATGTTTGCTTATTTCATATACATGAGATCGTACAGTGTTAGTCTTTTTGCATCTTATTTCATTCAGCATATTTTTTTTTTAAAGTTCACCCATGTTCTAGAATGCATCAGGACATCATTTTTCTTTATGGTAGAGCATAATCCACTGTGGAGTCCTGGTGTGGCACTGTCAGATAAGCACTAGACCACAAGGTCAGTTTGAACCAAAAGGTCAGTGGTTCAAACTCACCAGTCACTCCTTGGAAACCCTATAAGGGTCGCTATGAGTTGGAACTGATTCCATGGCACTTAATAACAAGAAAAAGCATATTCCATTGTATGTATATATACTACATTTTGTTTTTCCATTCATTTGTTGATGTGCTTTTTGGCTATTACCACCTTTGCGGTATTGTCAAAAAATGCTACAGTGAACACTGAAGTTTCTGTTTGCACTTTTGTGTTCACTGCTTCTGGGTATATACCCAGGATTGGGATTTCTGGATCGTGTGGTAGTTCTATGCTCAACTTTTTGAGAAACTGCCAAACTTTTCCATAATGACTGTACCATTTTGCATTTCCACCAGCAATGGGTAAGTGTTTCCGTTTCTCCACAACCTCACCAACACCTGTTGTTTTCTGTTTTGTTTCGTTTTTGTGGTTGTTTGTTAGGTTGGTTTGTTGGTTGGTTGGGTTCTTTTGTTTTTTTGGGGGGTGGGAGAGTTGTTTTTGTTGTTGTTTTATCTTTGTGATTTAATAAAAGCAATGCCTCGTTGAGGTTTTGTTTTGGATCTCCAATGGTAGCGCCAATTTTAGTATATGTGCTGCCAAAGTGAGCACAAAGATGACAAGCAAATTCGTGAACCCTTCCATATTTTTTAGAGTCCTGATGTGGTCTTCTAGGATAAACACTGGCCTGAAAGGTCAGTTTGAACCCCAAGGTTGGTGGTTCAAGCTCACCAGCCACTCCCTGGGAGCCCTATGCAGGGGCGATATGAGTTGGGAAAGACTTGACAGCACTGAAAAATAACAATGGCAGCTCAGTGGGTTCACTGTTGGCCTGCTAACAGCAAGAGCTGCTCCAAGGGAGAAAGATGCGCCCAGTAGGGGGCAAAGTTATGAAAACTTGTTGTTATTGTTAATATTGATTCTGACTTACAGTGACCCTGTATAGTGGTCTGAACTAGTGACATGCAGAATACTGCCCCTCCAATGTATGCACATCCTAATTTCTGAAACCTGTGAATATGTAACCTTACGTGGCAAGAGAATTTGCAGATGTGATTAAGGCTATTGATATAGGGAATTATCTTGGCAAGATGGCAGCAACAATGATGAGCTCAACTGTGACAGCAATTGTGAGGATGGTACAGGACCAGGCAGTGTTTCATTCTGTTGTGCATAGGGTCACTATGAGTTGGAGCAGACCTGAAGTCACCTAAAAACATCCTGGATTATATTGATGGATCCAATGTAGCCACAGCATTCTTGTAAGGAAAAGACGGAGGCACAAAGAGTGTCCCCTTCTTAGCCCATTCTAACATGACAGAAGCAGAAATTGGAGTGATGCTTCCAAGAGCCGAGGCTGTCGGCTGCCACTGTTGATGTTGTTAAGTACCATAAAGTCTGTTCAGCCCTGTATAGGGTTTCCAAGGAGTGGATGGTGGGTCAGAACTGCCAACCTTGTGGTTAGCAGTCCAGTGCTTATGCTACAGCGCCACACTTAATGGAAAAGGCAAGGAAGGATTCTCATTTATTGTCTTCAGAAGGGATGCTTGATCTTAGTCTTCTGAGACTTTGTACTTCTGACTTCCAAAACTGTAAGATAATCGATTTGTGTGTTTTTTAAGCCACTGAGTTTGCTAAATTGCTGTAACAGCCATAGGAAATGGAATACAGCCTTCTTTGCCAGTTCTCCCTGCTCTTCTCAGTACTAAATATTGGCGTGTCTCAGAACCCTTCTCTGTATATGCTTTTATTACTAGGTGAGCAGGGATTTAAATACCATCTCTATTCTCATGACGAGTCCTTGTATGGTGCTGTGGGTTAATGCACTAGACTGCGAGGTCAGTTTGAACTGCAAGATCGGTGGTTCCATCTCACCAGTCGCTCCTTGGAGAACCTATACAGGTTCGCTATGAGTCGGAACCAACTCCACATCACTTAACAACAAGCATTCTCATAACCCTCAACTTTTTGTTTTTAGCTCAGGACATCTTTTTATTTCTAGAGTGGGGTGCAATATATAGCTGCCTAGTTGGTAATCCACTGGATATTTCAAATTAACCTGTTCAAAACTAAGCTTTTCCCAAAATCCAGCTCTTCCCACGGTCTTCCTCATTTTGATAAATGGCAACTCCATCCTTTGAATGCCTTAAGTAAAATACCTGAGAGTCATTTTCATTTTTTTTTCTTTTATGCTCCTCAACTCATACACCAACAAATGCTTTTGACTATCTGCAAAATTATATCCCCAATTGCCACATGTGATTTCTTCCTTCAGTTCTTCTTTTGTTGCCACCATGGTTGAAGTAGTAAGATCAGATGTAAATTGTAAGTGAAAGGGAAGAAATGGAAGTCATTTTGTTGGAATTTTTAGCTGAGACGGGAAATCTTGTGAGTGAGTACCCATGAGAAGGGAAGTGTTTTTACAACAGGCAGAATATGAACGTGTTTATAGAATGTGGCCAGAGCTAGTTGAGAAGGGGAATGGTTGACATTCAGGAGATGGGAGAATCGCTGTTATGATTGTGAATGTCAGCCAATACGTTTGTGAATAGGGAGCTAGGAATCTGAGGAAGCTCATTTCTTAAAGAGGCTCCCATTCTATTGATGCTCTTGGAAGTTAGGTCTGGTGCTATTTAATGGAGTGGAGTGGTCTGACCTGATCAGTTTACATTCTGGAAGATTCATAGTGGATAGAGAGTGAGTAGAATTAACTTCTTTGTTTTGTAGATCCAAACCACAAACCTGTTGCCGCCAAGTCCATTCTGACTCTTGGTAGGCCCATGTGTTACAGAATAAAAATTGTGCTTGCTCCATAGGGCTTTCTTGGCTGTAATCTTTACAGAAGGAAATTGTCAAGACCTTTTTCCCATGGTAGATCATCTCCTACTATACTAGAACTGTAGTATCTATAGAATAAAGGGAAATAGAACTATTTTGAAGTGAGAACAAAATTTTTTTATCAAGACAAAAAACCTCATAATTTAGTGGCTTTAAAATATTTTAAGCCACCAAACTCTCCTTTCAAATCAAACCTAAATAATTCAAACAGAATAAGTTGTTGGTGTCTGATTTTTACCTCCCACTTTGATCTTTAGCCTTTGAAGCAGCCATAGATAAGATCATCTGAAATCACTGCTATAACATTTCTCTCAAGAAATGAAGATTGCTTCATCTCATGAATGATATAAATGTCTTTTCAAGGAAATATTCAATTTGTGGAGACAAGTCCAGATTATGTTCTCAAGTCAGCAGCTCTTTTGAGATGTCAACAATGTGTCATGTCCTTTACTTTTGGTTGTATACGATATGTGCTTTTTGTTCCTTTAGAGACGTGGGCATTTTTATAGTGCCTAAAATTGTGTCAGAACATAGGTGGTTATATTGCTTTGTCTAAGCATGCTAGTTTTTTGTTTCTTGTTAAATCCAAGTCCTCTAGCGTATGTCTCTTAGTTTTATAGATTTCGAAGCAATCTAGAAATCTAGGGGAGTGGGGAGTGTTTATGTAGGAATGTTTTTATAAAAATAACATAGTTTATTCATTTGCTTTTATCCAGAGACTTTTCTAACATCACTGAGTGTACTGATATCTCAGCTGGATCCCTGTTGTTGGAAAACAAAGGCTATGTTGAAGTTTCAAGTATGACACATTTTGGAGATGTAATTGAAGGAGAAAGTAAAACTATTAAGATATGCATTGAGTAAGTTTGCCACTAAAAGGTTTTAAGTAGAATTGCTTTGAGGGTTTTTTTTTTTTTTTTTAACCATAATTTAAAATTTCTGCATACATTACTTTGCCCATTATTTTTTCCCTTTTATTGAAATCCTTTCGTTGTTTTTTTTATCCCAAGTGTGCTTTTCCCTTTATATTCATAAAAGTACTTCAGATTACCATTTATTAGTTAAAAGTCTATGTGTTATGCTCCTGTTTTATTACATTAGATTACATTAGTTAGAACTACTGTGTATGATCATGATTAAATCTCGTTATTTAGGAATAAAGGAGAACTTGCTCAAAATTTAGTCAAATGCCAGTTTGTCGGCTGGGAAAAAACTAAACAATTCCAATTGGAAATGGCTGATGAAGGGCCAAAACGCCCTTCTATGCGTGTTGGAAAACAAATGACTCTATCCAAAACGGGTAGCAGTTTGGCGGACAACAGAGAAGTATCTCCAGGTATTCATTTAAACTGTTATCATGGAATTTGAAATTGAGTTTTGTTTTGACACCTGTAAACCCTTGTAAGACTTCAGTTTAGTTTACTTTCTTAAACAGAACACCTTGTCAGAAAGTTCCTGATCTTGACTGTATGTTTTTGTAGCGGGTGGTGGTATAGCAGTGGGCCTGATCAAGCCAAGGTCTCCTTGTTCTTCATGCTTTGTACTGTTTTTAAAACCCCATTACTCCTCCTATCATCTCAGTGTTTTTAGGGAATAAATACTTAAATAGCTTGACTTTGAGCCATACCAAGACTGCTTCTAATTTTGACAATTTCCTAAGAGGGCTTCTCATTTTGGGAAAGGCTATGAACGCTGTTTCAGGCTGTTGTCAATTTTCTTTTCCCTCAATAACTTGGTAAAAAATTTTTTGTAGTTTAACCCTGTTCTACTTCTTATTGGCATTTTGAAATAAGCTACCATCTGATTCTCTAGATGGTGTTTGTCTTTGTATCTGAATACATGTGTATACACAGATATTTATTTCTACTGTTGAAAACCTTTTGGTCTAATTTTGGATTTAAATTGTATTCCATTAGATGAATATACCTTGCAAGAAGAAGATAAACAAAAACAAAACACCGTATCTGAGAATCAGATTACAGAGGCTGATCTGAGTGGACATAGGCTAATCCCTCCAGGTGGAAAAATGTTTATTGAGGTTACATGTGCTGCAAGGTATGTGACTTGGGCAGTTTGGAGTGAGTTTACTTTGAACAATGTTTATGATGTTTTAAGGCATTATTAAGAATTCACAGACCATTTTGATGTGATGAAAATCATGTTTAAAAAAATCACATGAATTTTATCTACCGGAAGCAATGGATGCTGAAAAGTTTTATAATTTATACCCCTACTCGCTTCTTCATTCTCAGCAGCATATTTAAGTTCTTATTTTACAAAGAAAATGAACATTCAGATATGAACTATTACTCTATCCATCTTCACCACCTTCCCTATGTTTCTTGTAACTCATTGATGAGATCTTTTACCCTCCCAACCACCCAGCTGTTGAGCTAGCCAATCATTCAGCCAGTTAACTGAGAGACAGATAAGTCGGTTTTAAAGGTGCAGTGTGATAAGGGCTGTGATTAGTGAAGCCTACAGCATGGGGTAACACATCTAGGTCCTCCTTTGTGATCCCACAATGCCTTGAACAAGCACATACTTTTATGATGGCATTGTGAGTACCTTGAACACAGAGGTGGTGTACTTTTTGCATTTCAGCACTAACAGTATTGTACTGAGCATCTGGTTGGGAGACATGAATGAGCCGATAGAGTGAGTGGAAGAGGAGCTTGAAGATGCATGATATAGGAGATATTTAGAGCAAGATTCCAATAGGATTCCAACAGAGCAGAAGAAAACTTTTCTTAGGTATCTTGTTGTTGTTACGTGCCGTCGAGTTGATTCCGACCCATAGCGACCCTGTATAGGGTTTCCAAGGAGCAGCTGGTGAACTTGAACCCCCGACCTTGTAGTTCAAACGGCTTTGCAGTCTGGCACATTAACCCACAGTGCCACACCATAGTCACCACTAAAAACCAGGCCCTGAGACACAAAGGTGGTAGTGGTGGACATAGGTCTTGTGTTCCAAGAGCTCATTGGCAGGCAGAAAAAGCAGATTGAGAAACCCCAGCAGCTCTAGTAGAGTTTGGGATGAGTGCAAAAAGGGGATGTGGTATCTGATTTGGGGGCATTATGTAATAGGTAAATTATATTTTTAAATACTTTTGATGGCATTAAAACACACTTCTTGAAACAGGTGGAAAATAAAAATAAATAATTAAATATACAGTATATGATGTGGCACTGTGGGCTAATGCGCTGGATTGCAGTCAGATTGAACTGCAAAGTTGGTAGTTCAAGCTCACCAGATGATCCTTGGAAACCTTGTACAGGGTTGCTCTGGGTTGGACGGCACTTAACAACAATTCATAGTTGAAACAAGCAAAAAATTGGCAAATAGTAATGAGCCATTTTGTATATTTTTCATCATGCAACACAATTCTGATTTGGACTGGAGGATACTGAAATTGTGTTTTGTGTTTCTAAACTTATGAATGAATTATTTTAAATGGCCACATTTTATCTTGTAAAAATATTCACTGCTTGTTTAAGAAAGTCCTTTTTTTTCTTGCCCTGTGGAATGCTGCTCATGATCCGTATTTGCTATGTGACTTTTCCTATATGCTTCTAAGTGAAATTATGTTGATTCTATTTTATTTGTGTTTTAAAATTATTTTTATCCTTTGCTTTTCCAAGAAACCCTGGCCACTGCAAGGATCTCCTTTTGTTTTTCTTTTCTGATTTTACAATTGGACGGTATGTTGAAATGAATGTAGTAAATATTGAGAAGTCTCCCCTAGTTGCCACAAAACAAAGAATATGTCCTGGGGACGCATCTGAAAATTCCCAAACATTACAATGTTTGAAATCTGCTGTACTTGAGAGCAAAATGAGAAGGTACGGTAACTAACTAAGGTGGTAATAAGTGTATCCTATTTGGTATGTCATCTATTTGCTTGGCTGTTTTCTTTGTTATAAAGGAACTGGCATTTGCCCCATGATGGACCCTGAGCTCTGCCTTTACCTATTATAATCTACCACATTCCTGGGGAGTCACATGGCGGCTTTGATTCTCTTTCTATTATTGTTCACTTTTTTCTGTTGCACATTCACTGACATATAATTCATTAAGTGTCCAGATCTGCCAAGTACTGTGCTAGAGATTATGAGCCACTTGTTACAGCAGTGTGAGGAACCTAAAGGTAGAATCTGAGGGCCTTGGACTCAACCAGGCTAACTCATCCTGTCATATATCACAGTGCGCAGCTCGTACAAGTGCTGGTTGGTATCTGGTATCTCTGCGGACTAAAAAGATAATATCTGACCCTTGCCTCCTCTGTTGACACACTCCTTCATGTTCTGAAGTCTCCTGTTTCTGATTGAAAGCCTTTTCTCTATTCAGTTTTATCCAAAGCTGGAATGAAAGAACCCAGTTCTCGAGTGTCTCCCTAACATGAAAGGACAAATTATATGGCAAAAGGAGATGAAACTGGGGGAGGTGCACTTTCCCTCAATTTTCCAGTCAGAGATAAACTACACAGAAAAGCTAGAAGAGAATAAGAAGAAAAATATAAAATACCTGTCTTTATCGAAGTGACATTTCTCAGACCTTGGTCTTCGATTTTTTTAATTTCCCTTTCCCCTCTTTCTATTTGTTTATTTGTTTGGTTTCCTGCAATTCCTGTTGACATGTTGTTAGACTTGTTTATAGTAGCTAGTGGTGCTCTTTATCCTGTTGGTGCCCCATCTATACTCTGGTCCAGAAATATCACACAGTTTTGCGACACTAGAATCTTGTGTTTAACATGTAAACCCTCAAAGGGAAAGGCAGGCTGACAAATGAAATGGGAAGATAGGGTCCAAGCAGAGCATGTATATAATTTCTGATCATCCTTATCCATGAGTATGTATGGATTAACTTAGTTAATTAACAGCTTATGAACACAGTTGTTTTCAAACTCATGGTCCCATGAGGTGCCTTGAGGATCCACACCCTGTCTATCTGTTGTAACCAGAGCAACCCTTATTTTTATGTAGTTTTCAAGTATCAAATATGTTTGAAATTTAGTTCCTAAAGTTAAAACAAAAGTCTGAATACTACTGAGTCAGGCCCACAGCTAAAATATATCAGTTGTTTTTTGGTGTGAGTGAGTAAGCTTGCATCCTTTTAAAGTTAGAAAAGGATATGTATGTTAAAATGTCTGGTATAGAACCCTTACCCTGGGAAATTAATAATCATTTTGAACTTCTGTTTTGTTTTTAAGGCAAACACTTCCAAACATCTTGCCACACTATCCCATCCCAGAATCACTTAGAAGTTGTATGGAACAAAACATTAACATACTGTCTTTGCAGCCATGTCTTGCAGAGGTAGGTAAAGCGTGTCTGTGAAGGTGTATGAAATATTCGGCTTTTTTTTTCTTACCATTCTTTCTTTCTTTTTTTTAATCTTTTAAACATGGGGGTGTCTCCCTTCTCAGATTCAGGCCTTGTTTTGATTCATTTTTATGACAGCTATAGGAATTCAGGAAAATGAGAGATACAAACTGGCAAAAGAAATTTATTGTTCCTTTATGCCTTAGCAGCCATGCTAAGATGTGAGCTTCATCAGTAACCTTAAATGTTCACTTTACCTGGTTCTGAAAACCCTTTGTCTTCAGCTTCTCTAGGAAACCATTTGAGCTTTGTTAAGATATAATTTACATACCATTAAATCCATCCATTTTAGTGTGTAATTCACTGATTTTCAGTAAATTTGCAGAGTTGTGCACCTGTTATTGCAATCCCACTTTAGAACATTTCTGTCACCCCAAAAGACCCCTCCTGATGGCCATTTACAGTCAATTTCCATTTCTACTCTGAGCTCCCATAATGTGTGGTTTTTTTTTTTTTTTGTCTCAACTCTTACAGATTTGTCTTTTCTGGAACTTTGTCATAAGTTGTTGTTAAAGTGCCGTCAAGTCGATTCCAAGTCATAGTGACCCTGTAAAGGGTTTTGTAGGAGCAGCTGGTGGGTTTGAACCACCAACCTTGAGGTTAGCAGTCTAGTGCTTAGCCTACAATGCCACAGGAGGAATCATAAAATCGTCTTCTGCATCTGGCTTCCTTCAATTAGCATACAGTGTTGGAGGGTTAGCTATGTTATAGCAGAGATTAGTGCTTTCCTCATCTTTATGCTATACCGCATTTTATTTATCCATTCACCAGTTGATGGAGTTTGGGTTGGTTTCCACTTTGGGGCTATTATAAATGATGCTGCTATGGACACTCTGGTAGCATAGTGGTTACGAATCAGGCTGCGAACCTCAAGGTCAGCAGTTCGAAACTACCAGCTGCACCACGGGAGAAAGATGAGGCTTTCTGCTCCCGTAAAGATTTACAGCCTCGGAAACCCTGTTCAGGGTCGCTATGGGTCGGAACCTACTCGACGGCACTTAACAACAACAACAGCATGGACACTCGTGTAGATGTCTTTGTGCACATCTATTTTCATTTCTCTTAGGAAGATACCTAGGAGATGAATTGTTGGACAGCAAGGTATGTTTAGCATTTGAAAAGGTTGCCTCACTGCCTCTCAGAGTAGATGGCAAGATTTTATATTCCCATCCACAATGTATGAGGGTGAGTTTACTCACATTTTGACAAACAATTGGTATTGTCTTTTTTTGTTTGTCTGAAACTTTTTATTATGAATTGAGTGAAGATTTACAGAGCAGATCATCAGTTTTACATCCAACAAATCACAATTTTATTTCGTCTCAATGATTGCAATCTCCTCCACTTAACGATACTTATCCCACTTCCTCCCGGTGGTTGGTGTTATTATTATTATTATTATTATTATTATTATTATTATTATTATGTAGTGGGCCTGTAAAAACCATACTCTATCTCTTTCTGAATAAGCTCAGGCAATCAGAATAAAGTGCGGACAGTGGGGCACTGGAACCAGAAAAAAGCACCTATGGCCATAAAAAATAAAAGGTGAAAACCTACCAGTTTGCTTTTTACAAAGAAGGCACCAAAAGTAAAGAATGAAGCCCCTGCCCTTCCCAAAGCTGAAGCCAAAGCAAAGGCATTGAAGGCCAAGAAGGCAGTGCTGAAAGGCGTCCATAGCCACAAAATAAAAAGATCCACACATCACCCACCTTCCGGCGGCCCAAAACTCTGAGGCTCCTGAGGCAGCCCAAATATCCTTGGAAGAGCAACCCCAGGAGAAATAAGCCTGACCGTTATGCCATCATCAAGTTCCCTCTAACTACTGAATCAGCCATGAAGAAGATTCAAGATAATAACACACTGTGTTCAGTGTGGAGGTCAAGGCCAACAATCACCAGATCAAACAGGCTGTGAAGAAGCTCTTTGACATTGATGTAGCCAAGGTCAACACCTTCATCAGGCCTAATGGGGACAAGAGGCATATGTTCCACTGGCTCCTGAGTAAGATGCTTCGGATGTTTCCAACAAAATAGGGATCATCTAAACTGAGTCCAGCTGTCTAATTCTAAATATAAATTTTTTCAATACAAAAACAACTATCAGCTTGAGGACTGTGGGGCATTTTCCTTTATTTAGAACTGCATGGTGCTGTAGGATAAAGCAAGGTTGGTTTGAACCACACAGTTGAAAGTTCAAATTCACCAGCTCCTTCAAAACCCTATATACCGTACCCAGAGAAGTGACACCAGATATGGAGGCAGAGACAATGACGTGGACAGATGGAGTGGCTGGGGACACTGGACTCTGAGGGAACAGGGCTGTGTGCTGACGCCTGGGGGGGAGGCCTGTGGGATGTACCCTTTGGTTGTTTGATGATGCACGGAGGGGATTGTAATCATTGCAATGAAATGAAATACGATAGGATGAATGTAAAACTGATGTTCTCCCATGTAAACCCACATAATTCACAGTAAAACTTAAAAAAAAAAAACCCTATACAGGGTCACTATGAGTCAAAACCGACTCAATGGCATCTAACAACTCCATAAACTTGTTATATTACTGACAGGCTATTATTTTACTTTCACTAACTCCTTGATGTTTTGTTTTCAGCTTTTGAGCATGTCCAACTACAAAGACAGATTTTCAACTTTGTTATGGCTTGAGGAGATTCAAGAGGAAATGGAAATGAAGGAGTTCAATATGACTAGAGTTGTTTTAAAGAAGAATGGAGATTTCATGTTTTTGGAGGTCCCAGGATTATGTGATAACAGACCACTTTTGTATCCAGGTGTTTTGTTACTTGTCACCTTTTAATATAGTAGGTAGAATAGCAAAAAATTACACCACAATTAGAACAATTATTTTTAAAATATGAGAGCACTACTTTCACAATATTTTTGCCTCATTAGTTAGAATTTCACTTAAAATTTTTTCAGCATGTTTTCTTGTCACATTTACATTTAAACAGTTGTCAAATATGGTAGTGGGGTGTTCTCATTGTGTAATAGTTTTATGTGTTAACCTTTTTATTTTTGCTAGGTGATAGAGTGATTTTAAGAAAAAGGGATAACTGTCAACAAATAATTGAGTGTAATATCTTTGTTCATAAGGTGAGTATTTTATTAGTAATTGTATTTACTACCTTATCAAAAGGTAAGAAATCATGTTAATTATTCTTTCTGTTGAAAGTCATGCTATGGAGAAAATGTTGCTGGGCTTGTATGTCTAGGCACGTATACTAGGGAAATGTGTTCTTCTATAGCCATTTGCTCCTTTTGGAAAGTACGGGTATAGAGAAAAATTTTCAATGATGTTTATGCATAAAGGAAACTTGATAGTTTAAAGAAATCCTGCAAAAACAGGTTCATGCTTTTTGCATATTGAAGTATAATTGAATTACAACACAATGTACATATTGAAAGTGTACAGTTTAATCAATTTTGACATACATGTTCACACCTGCTAAACTATTCCCACAAACAACCACCACTCCCGGGGCCCTTTGAAATCCCTCCCTCCACACCAGCCGCACCTTGGAAACTCTATACAGGGTAGCTGTGAGTTGGAACCGATTTGACGGCACTTAACAACAACAACCGCTATTCCCAGATCTTTCTGATCTTTCTGTCACTGTAGAATAGTTTACACTTTTTGGAATTTTATGTAAATAGAATCCTATAGTATGTACTTTCTTTTGCATATTATTGAGTGATGTTCCATATATGGCTATATCACAATTGGTTTATTCGTTCACCTTTTCATGGGTGATTTGGTTATTTTTAGTTTGGGGCTATTAGACCTAAAGGTGAACACATTTAAAGCATTACAAATTCAGTTTCTCTATTTCCAGGGAAGTCGTTGAATGTCAATTTCCATAAACCAATTATGACAGAACACCTTTATCTTAAATTTATTAATACTCTTCAGAGGAAGGGAAATATTTCAAATTCCCACAGTGAGAGTGGGAGAGAGGCAGTTCTCTCTTTTAGGCACACAGAAAACTTGTGCTTCTATCTTGTATCCTCAGCTATAGATCCACAGTAAAATGAAACACAAATACTCACTGCTACAAACCTCAAAGGTCGGCTTTCCTTGTCACAGGGCACACACTTTTTTTGTGATTAATTTTAGCTTCCAAATAGAACAATTAGAAAATAGCAAACTAAATTCTAATACTGCCATCTGACAGAGAAAAAATGTCCATCATCCATCTAACAGATCTCCAAATGGTCAGATTCTGAAACATGTCACCACACACATCTGCCATGCACAAACCTGACCCCATCTACACTCTGGTCCATGTCATTGAAAGTGGCTTAGTGGTTTGAGTCAAGACAGTGTCTCACCAGTCCTTGGACCCGATTGTAGAAATAGACTTGGACCTAACCACAAGTGAGGCAGGACACGGACAGAATGATAGGCTTGACCAGACAGCAAAACCACATAATCATAAGTAAGAAAATCAATCTAGGGAATAACCAAAGGTAAATTTGCTTACTGTTTGGGCATCAGTGTACATATGGTATTTAGAGTGGATGAAATCACCAAAGGAGTGGGTATAGGTAGAAAAGAGAAGTCTAAGGATTAAGCACATTGATATAACAGATCCACATGAAAAAGGATCTCCCAAGGAAACAGAGGGAAGGGACCAGTGACGCAGAGAAAAGCCAAGAGCTTTTGGGTCAAGTAAAATAAGGGCAGAGAACTGAGAATTGACCATCGTATTTAGCAATGTAAACATTACTAAAGAAAGATACTAAATCCTTAAATTCATCTCAGATTAAGTTCTCATTTTCCTCTGTAATTTCTTCCAAATATTTGTGGATTTTTTTTTTAATTTTTTTTTTTTTTTTTTAAGTGCTATTGATTTCTATTTTCGTTACATTGAGGTTGGGGAAGATGCTTTGCATGTTTTTTTGTGATTTCAGTTCTTTTAAGTTTACTGAGCCTTGTTTTTGTGGCCTGACACACAGTATATATTGAAGAATATGCCGGGTCCACTGCTATTGGCGAGTGGCGAGTTCTATATATGTCTGTTGGATCTAGGTGGTGTGTAATGGTATTCAAGTTCATACTGTCCTTTTTCATCTTTTTTTAATCTGGTTTTTCTCTCCATTATTGAAATTGGAATATTGAAGTCTCTAATTGTTGTTGTAGAACTGCTTTCCTGTCCTTGAAACCTGTCAGTTTTGCTACGTATATTTTGGGAGTAATGGACTGTGAACCGCAAGGTCGGAAGTCCAAACCCATCAGCTGCTCTTTGGAAACTCTGTACTGGGCGGATATGAGTTGGAACCGACTCAATGGCACTTAACAGCAACATGTTTATAATTATTTTATCTTCTTGATTGATTGACCCTTTATCAACATATGTTGTTGTTAAGTACTGTCGAGTTGGTTCTGACCCATAGCGACCCTGTACAGGGTTTCCAAGGGTGTAAATCTTTACGGGAGTAGAAAGCCTCATCTTTCTCCCGTGGAGCGGCTGGTAGTTTCGAACCTCTGACCTTAAGGTTCGCAGCCCGATTCGTAACCACTACGCTACCAGAGCTCCTTTTATCAACATATAGTGGTCTCTTTTTCTTTTCTATCAGTTTTTTATATAAAAAGCATTTTGATATTAGTATAGCCATCCCAGCTCTTTATTTATTTGTTTGTTTATTTGGTTACTATTTGTTTGTAATGTTTCTTACTTCTCTTCTTTTGGATCCTCAGAAAATTCCTTTCTTACTAGTTTAAGAAAATGGCAGAAATTAGAAGGTGGAAGGCTTCACAGAGTATCTTGTTATTGTTAAGCGCCATTAAGTCAATTCTGACTCATAGCAACCCTGTATAGGGTTTCCAAGGAGTAGCTGATGGGTTTGAACTGCTGACCTTGTGGTTCATAATCCAGTGCCGATCCTATAATGTGTCATCAGTAATCTCAAATTATCTAGTCACCTATATTTCTACAAGGAGAAATCTATCTAGGCTTTCATATAGTGTATATCATTTTGTATTATGATTATTTGTTTAGTCTATGTCTCACTTACTTTTACATTCCCAGGGCTAGAATATAGCCTGGTAAATAGAAGTTCAGTACGCATTTGGGAATGATGGACTCATTGACTTCTGTTTGTCTAATCTAATGGGGTAATAATTGATATTTAAGATACTGAATTTTAGCTCAGATCTGTAGAATAAAGTCTTCATGATGGGTTATCTCTGGATACAAAGAATAAATTAAGTACAATTTATGAGCATTAAATTTGTATTGACTTTTTCAGATACATGAAGACAAGGTGATTCTCGAAGTTAGTTCAAGATTTAGGGAAACATATAATTTTGAACCTGTGGATGTAGAATTTGTTTCTAATAGGTAATTCTTTTAACGAATTTCATAAAAATTTGTCTTTATTCCTGGTCAGTGACAGTCTTCTGTTTAGGATTTAAACTAAATCTTTTGACATTCCAGTAATGATGTTAGATGTGAGTTTAACTATTTATGCTTTGGGCATTCTGTGTTGGTCCCATAAACCAATTTCAGAATTGCAAATCTGAATTTTAAAGAAATCATATCTGTCTTCTATTTTGAGAAGCTGTGTATCAGCTCTTACATCCTTGCCAGATATTCTTTCCCATTTTTTTTAAAGTTTTAATTGTGAATTGGGTGATAGTTTACATGGGAGAACATCAGCTTTACATTCATCCTATCATATTTTGTTTCATTCAATGATTACAGTCCCCTCCATTCATCATCATTCAATGGTATTTGCTTCCATTGCCTCATTTTATTTATTTATTTTGTATGTACACCGAAGCATTCAGGAATACACAACCATTCAAACAACCAAAGAGCACACCCTGCAAGCCCACCACCTAGCCATCAGCACTCAGCCCCTCTCCCTCCCTGAGTTCAGAGTCCCCAACTGCTCCATCGCTCCACATCATCATCTCTGCCTCCATCTTTGGTGTCACTGCTTCTCTGTACAGGGTCCTGCACTTCTTTTCCATTTTTATTTTGGAGGGTTTTTTTGTTTTGTTTTGTTTTTTGTCATGTTTGGTCTCACGAAGATTGAATTCTATTCTCCATTCATTGTTTTTTTCAGTTCATTTTAAGGGACTGGGCATTACACAATCAAAATTACTTTTCAATTAAGTCAAAAGGATCAATTATTATAGGACAGTTTTTCTTCTTTTGCAATTTATTCATAAAAACAGATACTTCCCTACAGGAAAAGGGAGTCTTTGCTGGTCTTACACCCGGGATGCTTCTTTTATAAGTGGAGTTTACAGATGTGCATGTATCAGAAAGATCCTCCAGTCTTTCAGATTTCCTAGAGGATTCTTTAAGAACTTAAATGTTACATACATTCCTATCATATTTGTAGTCTTGACTTTTAAAACACTATTACTGTGAGTTACTTTCTGTTGTTTGCTTTTTTGGCAGGACTCCATTCAGACGATGTCACTTTGCAATTGAGGAATCCGAGTATTTAGGTGATAGAGGTACCATTTTTGTAGAAGTATATAGACTGACATTTTCTCAGTGTACTTTTAGAGACTCTTCATGTGACATATTAAGTAAAATACAGTCTTTTGAATCATGTATATGAAATAAAACTCTAGGATGTCTGCATGCTTTGATCTTTATATTGAGGGACTTTAGTTTTCCATTATATCTGAAAAGAAATTATACTTTGCCTTGCCTCTTTTAATTTAATGTTAGCTTATTTTTCGTTTATGAGTAGAAAAGTAAATAGCTGTGATATAAAGAACATGCTTCTGCTCATATTCTAATTTGGAAATACCGTAGGGAAGGGGAGGCCGTAGATTATCTTTGACTTTTGGTAGGAATGGCCATAAAACTAGAGGCTGCTTTTATTCTTTTATCATGTTCAGTAATATCTACCTTCTCACTGTTTCTCTTTTTTAAAGTATTATTTCCAGATACTCTCTCACTAAGTGCTCTCTGTAATTCCAAGAATTGGAATGACGACCAGTCTCTCACTATGGTAATACACTAATAATTTGGATATATTTTCATAGATAATGATTGTAAAATCATTTTATATACAATAGATCCCAAATCACTGGAGTATTGAGGATGGTTAGGTCACAAATAAGCCCAAACTACAGTTATATTTAACCCAATGTAAATATGCCACAAAGTAGATTTCAACATAAAATTTACATAAAACTCAACCAGTGGACTCCTGGTTTGGCACTGTAGGATCAGCACTGGACTTTGAGCCACAAAGTTGGTAGTCAAACCCACCAGCTTGTTGTTTAGGTGCCATTGAGTCGGTACTGGCTCATAGCGACCCTAGGCACAACAGAACGAAATACTGCCCGTCCTGGGCCAACCTTGGAAACACTATATAAGGTCCCTATGAGTCAGAGCCAACTTGATGGCACTTAACAACAGCAACAGCATTATGGAACCCTAGTGGCATAATGGGCTGTATTGTGCTGCTAACCACAAGTTTGGTGGTTCCAACCCACTAACCACTCCATGGGAGAAAGATGAGGCTGTCTGTTCCCATAAAGATTTAACAATTGTAAAGATAAAAGTTTTATAACAAAACCCTATAAGGTCGCTGTGAGTAGGAACTGACTTGATGGCATTAACAACATATAGTGTATTAGTTATCTAGTGCTGCTGTAGCAGGAATACCACACACAAGTGGATGGCTTTACTAGACAGAAATTTTTTCTCTCACAGTTTAAGAGCACCAGCTCTAGAAGATTCGTCTTTCTCTCTGTTGGCTCTGGGGAAAGGTCCGTATTTCCTAGCAACATCTGTAGGCCTGCCATTCCTTGGAAATCTCCATGGAGTTCAGCATCAGTCTTCCCCTGGGTTTAGGAGGTCCTCAGAACAAGGATCCCAGGTCCAAAGGCCATGCTCTGCTACTGACTCTTCTTTCTTGGTGCTAATCGGGTTCCCCTCGCTCTCTGCTAGCTTCTCTCTCCTTGTAATAGCATTCTCTTGTCACTGCCAAACTATAGCTTTACATAACTGCCAAACGACTGAGAATCCGAGTAACCAAGTTGACACATATTTTGGGAGAATCCACTTGAATCCATTATTTTAGCCATTCTGGTAAATGTGTGGCGATAGCACATTAATTTGCATTTCTCTATTGAACATGTCTCCTATTGAACATCTCCATGCTCTTCTATGAAATGTCTCAAGTGTTTGGCCTATTTTCTAATTGGATTATTTTTATATGTTGAGGTTTAAGGTTTCTCATATATAGTCATCCCTGAATTGTGCAAATTGTTTCAGCTTAACTATATCTGGTGTTGTCCTGGTGTGGCAGTGCAGGATAATGCACTGGACTGCAAGGTCAGCCATTCAAACCCACCAGCCGCTCCTTGGAAACCCTATACAGAGTTGCTGTGGCACCTAACCGACTCAATGACACTTACCAACAACAACAACATATTTTGGTGTGACACTGTAGAATAAGCACTGGATTACTAACCACAAGATCTGTGGTTCAAACCCGCCAGTTGCTCCTCGGAAACCCTATATCGGGTTGCAGTGAGTCGGAACCGACTCGACAGCACTTAATCTAAAGTTTGGTGGTTCAAGCCCATCCAGAGACACTCTGGAAGAAAGGTCTGGCAATCTGCTTCCATAAAGATTGGTGGTGGTGGAGGCTGTGTGCCACCGGTCGGTTCCGACTCACAGTGACCATGTATAGACTTTCTGAGTCTATAAATCTTTAAGAGAGCAGAAATCCTTATATTTCTCCTGCAGAGCAGCTGGTAGACTGAGACTTCTGACCTTGGGGTTAGCAGTTCCAATCTACTACCAGAGCTGCTTTCCATAAAGATTATAGCCCAGAAAACCATATGAAGCACTTCTACTCTGTAACACATAAGGTCATCATGAATTGGAATCAACTCAAAGGCGACAGGTTTGGTTTGAAGTGTTTTTATATTAGTTTTGTCATTTATGTGCTTTGCAAATATTTTCTTCCAGTCTGGAGCTTGTCTTTTCATCTTCTTCACATGAATTATCACAGAACAAATGTTTTCAGTTTTGATGGCATAGAATTGATTGATTGTTTTTCACTGGATTATGATTTTGGTGTCAAGTCTAAGAACTCTGTTTCTTTCGAAGAATTTCACTGTTCTGCAATTGTACATTTAAATTTTAGATCCATATTGAGTTAATATTTGTATGAGAGGTAAGGATCCCTTTTTGCCTGTGTGCATTAGCAGCATTTGTTGAAAAGGCTCCATTGAATTCCATTTAGACATGCATTTCTAAATCACTTGTTGTTAAGTGCCATTGAATAGATTCTGATTCATAGCGACCCCATATAGGGCTTCTGAGGCTTTAAATCTTCTTGGGAGCAGAAAGCTGTATATTTTTCTTGCTGAACAGCTGGCAGGCTCGAATTCTAGTTCACAGTCCAGTGCTTATTTTAGGGAGTCACCACACTCCTTTAAATCACTACTTATGTATTTTATCATTTCTAATTTTAAATTAATCATCTGAATTCTCAATCCAGATATTGTGATTTTGAAGTCCATGATACACTTTTATTGTTTCATAGATACCAATTTTGTTTATATTGGTCATCACTCATCTATTTGTTAGTTTCTTACTCTATTTTCTGTTATCTGTTACTGTTGTTGTGAGGTGCCATGGAGTCTGTTCTGACTCATAGCAACCTTATGCACAACATAATGAAACACTGCCTGGTCTGTTGCACCATCCTCACAATTGTTATGTCTGAGCCCATTTTTGCAATCACTGTGACAGTCTATCTCCTTGGGGGTCTTCTTTTCTGATTACCCTCTACTAAGCATGATGTCCTTCTCCAGGGACTGGCCTAACCTAACAACATGTCCAAAGTACAAGAGACAAGTCTTACCATTCTCCCTTCTGAGGAGCACTCTGATTATACTTCTTCCAAAACAGATTAGTTCTTCTGGAAGTCTCTGATATTTTCAATATTCTTTGCCAACACCCTAAATTCAAGTGCATCGATTCTTCTACCTATGATTTTCCTTATTCATTGTCCAGCTTTCTCATGCATATGAGGAGATTGAAAATGCTATGGCTTAAGTCAAGTGCACCTTAAGACCTCAGATTTACATCTTTGCTCTTGAACACTTTAAAGAGGCTTTGTGCAACAAATTTGCCTAATACAGTATGTGGCTGTTCCCATGAGTGTTGTTTTTGGATTCAAGCAAAAATGACGTCTTTGACAATTTCAATCTTTTCTGCATTTATTAGTTATTTATTAGTCCAATGGTGAGGATTTTAATTTTCTTTACATTGAGGTGCAGCCCATACTAAAGGCTTTAGTTTTGGATCTTCATCAGTATTTTAAGACCTCTTCATTTCCAACAAGCAAGGTTATATCATCTGCATATCACAGGTAATTAATGAGTCTTTCTCCAATCCTGAAATCATGTTATTCTGCATATAACGCAGCTTCTTTGAGTATTTGCTCATCATACAGATTGAATAAGTGTGGTGAAAGGATACAACTGATGCACACCTTTTCTGATTTTAAACCATATCCCCTTGTTCTAATTGAATGGCTGTCTCTTTGTCTATATACAGGTTCCTCATGAACACAATTAAGTGTTCTGAAATACCCTTTCTTTACAAAGTTATCCATAGTTTGCTATGATCCACACAGTTGAATGCCTTTGCATGGTCATTAAAACACAAGTAAACATCTTTCTGGTGTTCGCTGCTTTCAGCCAAGATCCTTCTGATGTCATCAATGATATCCTTCATTCCATGTTCTTTTCTGACTCTAACTTGAATCTCTGACAGCTCCCTGTCTATGTACTGCTGCAACCATTTTTTAATTCTCTTCAGCAAAATTTTGCTTGCATATGATATTAATGATATTGTTCGATGATTTTTGCATTCCATTTAGCCACCTTTCTTTGGAATGGACACATATATGGATCTCTTCCAATCAGTTGTCCTCCAAATTTCTTGGAATAGTGAGTGAGTGCCTCTAGTGCTGTTTCAGTTAGCTGAAACATTTCAATTTGTATTCCATCACTTCTTGGAGCCTTGTTTTTCACCAGTGCCTTCAGTGCAGCTTGGACATTTTTCTTCATTATCAAAGTTTCTTGATCATGTGCTACCTCTTGAAATGATTGAACATCAATTATTTTTGATACAGTGACTCTGTGTATTCCTTCAATCTTTTGATACTTCCTGCTTCATTCAATATTTTGCCCATTGTGTTGTTAAGTATTGTCGAGTCAATTCCAACTCATAGCAGCCAAACCTGTATAGGATTTCTGAGGAGCAGCTGGTGGGTTTGAACCACCGACCTTGAAGTTAAAACCAACATTGTGGTCTATTGCTTATCCTACAGCACCACACCATGACTCTATTTTGCCCATAGAATTCCCCAATATTGCAACTTGGAGGCTTTCATTTTTTCCCCTCTGTTCTTTCAGCTTCAGAAATGATGAGTGTGTGCCTCCCTGCTGGATTTCTAACTCCATTTCATTATAATACTTTGTCTTCTCAAGCTGCCCTTTGAGTCTGTTAACCATAGTTATGTTAAAGTCTTTGTCTGCTAGCTTCAATATTTTCATCATCTGTATGTCTCATTCCTTTTATTGTTGGGGTGTTTTTCCTCTTTTTTATTATATTTTTCTGCCTTTCGCATTTCTAACAATTTCTGATTGCTTGTCTGACATTTTGTGTAAAGAACACATGAATCACTATGAGTCGGAAGTGACTTGACGGCACTTAACAACAACAAAGCCTTGAGATAGGCCCAGATCACCTAGAGAGTGAGTACTTACGGGAAAGAAAAGAGGCTCAAGAACTGAGCCTTTGGGCACTGTCTCAGTTCTCTAGCATTCTATGAGAGAAATGCCACAAGTGGATGGCTTTAACAACCAGGAATTTAGTCTCTCACAGTTCATTGTTGCTGTTGTTAAGTGCCGTTCCGACTCATAGCGACACTGTATAGGGTTTCTGAGGATTGGCTGGTGAGTTCAAACTGCTGACCTTGTGATTCAAACAGACCTTTCAGTCTGGTGTTTATCCTACAGCGCCAAAAGTCCAAATTCAAAGTGACGACTCTAAGGGAAGGTTTTCTCTCGTGGCTCCTTTCAGTATCTGTAGACCCCACATTCCGTGGAGATCTCCCTGGGTCTGGGCATCAATATTCTCCTGGATCAAAGAGTGTGACAGTGCAGGCACCCCAGGTCTTTTAAATCTCAAAAGACATTGACTCAAGATACAACCTAATCCTGTAGAGTGCACCTGACCTCAGTAACATCATAGAATGAGGATTTACAACACAGAGGAGACCCACGTGAGATCAGGACTGACACATCAGATCTCATCTTGGGCAGGGTATGATTACATCATTATGTCCCAGACAGATTGACACATATTGGGGGTAGAAGCACAGTTTAGTCCATACAGGCACCCTAGCATTGAAACTGGGGAGGAAGGAAGAAACTAGAAAAGGAAACTGAGTAGAAGTAGACTCAAGTGTTGGAGAAGCCAAATGAAGCAGGTGTTTATAGGAGGGTGGAATGACTACATCAAATGTTAATGTAAGGTAAATAAGCAGAGGCCTACTAGAATGTCATTTCTTTCAGGACAGGGAATAAATACATCTATGCTTTTGCTTTGTTGTGTTTTAATTCATGCAACCTTATATTGTAAGTCTTAAAATTCCAAGTTCTGCCCTGACTTTTTTGAGCCTAATTTGTTGTTGTTGTTAAGTGCCATCAAGTCAGTTAGGACTCATAGCGACCCTATATACGGTTTCTGAGGAGCAGCTGGTGGGTTTGAACTGCCGACCTTGTGGTTAGCAGTCCAGTGCTTATCCTATAGCCCCAGACCTAACTGTGAGTTCACCTCTTGAAAGAATGCCCCTCACCCAGCAGGAAAGGGGCTCCCTACTCCAGTTCCCCTCTCAGGTAGACCAGCTATACCCTACCCAGTCCTCACCCTAATGTGTTTTATCCTGCTGTCATTCCAAGAAACTCTACAAACAAACGAATCACATCCTCTGATTAACACAGAGCCTGCTGCCCACAGCCCCTGCTGGTTCATTTTGCTCCTGAGTGCCAACTCTGTGTACTCCTGTATGGTGTATGGCTTGTGCCTCCCCCACCGCAGGCTGAGACTATGTGACCAAAAAAAAAAAAAAAAACCGCTGCCAGTCTCATCTGCCCAGTGGTGACTGTCATGTGTTTGGCCATTTTAAGAAGGGGGATCCCTCCTTGGCATAGGAGTAGATAGGAGAAAAACAGAGCAAACCCTAATATCTAGTGCTGTGTTTGGTCTCAACTTGGTGTGCTTTGCTCTAGACAAGTGAGGGATTATAAGAGTCATTGCCTGTCCTGGTGTGGTGCTGTAGGACAAGCACTGGACTGCTAACTGCTAAGTTGGTGGTTTAAACCCACCAGCTAGCTGCTCCTCGGAACTGTAGACAGGGTCACTGTGAGTCAGAACTGACCTGATGGCACTTAACAGCAACATCATATGACAACAACAATTGTGAGGATAGCTCAGGACCAGACAGTGTTTTGTTGTGTTGTGTACAAGGGCACTGTGAGAACTGACTCGATGGTACCTAACAACAAACCCTTTGAGCTCTCGATCCTGTATGACATTTTTAGCTGCCCTGCTTTCCTTCAGCTGGTATTCCAAACTGCCTGCCACCATGTCTATCTAAACCCTGGATTGGGTACTTTACAACAACCTATTTCTTCTTTACCCAGCCCCTCATCAAATACAGTCCACTCAAACACCATGAAGTAAACGTTAGAAAGTCTTTCAGTAAATGTCACACCTTGACATTTTCCATTTCATTTTGATGCCTGAAATCGATAGGCACTGCCAGCACTGACCTCAACCACAGTGAAAGAGGACACATCTGACGTATCATTTACATCTTTGTTTTGGCTCCACTAGTTCTTCAACATAAAATTTAGTGTATCTGTTATCTCTTTTTTAAAAAGGGGAGTCTGAAAAAGAAACAAGCCTTTGAAACAATATGTTATGAAATTTCCTTCTGTCTTAGCATTATATATTAAGGGCAATGTCGTGAGATCTATTATTGAAAGAAATAATAGTATAATAAGTAGAACATTCATGTCTAAAACAAGCCATTATGACCACAAAAATGGTTTTTATTAGCATTTTTTCCTCTTAACCATTTTCGGCATGATCTTTTTTGTGTGTGCGTAGCATATGGAAACAATGGTGGACCAAAGCATACATGAGAATGTCAGAACCGTGGACTTGCCAGGTATGGTCACCTTTGCTGAAGGAACATGTAATCTGGGAGCATAGCTGTGAGGGGTTTACAGTAGATCAACTAAGATGATTTTTGCCTGGAAACTAGGTGCCAAGAGAAATACTTTTAGGTAGAAAGGGAAAAAAAAAAAATGTTGGGAGATTTTTTTAGACTGTGAATATTATATTATTCATAAAGAGAAAGGCATATCTTATCTTTACTGAACACAGATAAAGAGTATTTATAATATACATATAATGATTTATGGTTATTATTTATTATATTGTTTATCAATCATATATATTATAAAGACTTTTTGGTTGTTTTTGTTGTTAAGTGCCACCGAGTCAGTTATTAAGTCTTAAAAACAAGGATAAATAAATACAAAACAAAGACAAACAGATCGCCCAGTGTGGGTGAGGGAGGTGCTGCTTACCATATGTGCTACAAGTGGTATGATGAGTTTCCAAATATCTGGAGTCCTGGTGTGACACTTGTAGGATCAGCACTGGACTGTGAACCACAAGATCAGCAGTTCAAACCCACCAGCTGCTCCTCAGAAATCCTACACAGGCTCACTATGCGTCAGAACCGACTCACTGGCACTTAACAACAACATAATATGTATATTTCCAGTGAGATGGTTTTAATGTCTACAGTTATGTATAATTCTTACCATGTGATCTTTGAATCTCTCAGAGACATTTTCAAACGATGACTGATATTTTCAGTGCCATTGGATATTTATAACAGAGTATTGTGAGATATCGTGATGTGATTCCAAGCCAGTGCACCTCATCCATGGTGGAGGCTGTTCTGACGCTGAATAGGTTTCAGCGGATCTTCCAGACTAAACAGACGAGGAAGAAAGGACTGGCAATCTACTCCCAAAACTTAGCCAACGAAAATTGTATGAATCACAACAGTCTGATCCACAATCAATTATGTGGATTGTGCAGGACCAGCATTATGTTCCTTTGTGCATGGGTCTCCATGAGTAGGGGGGTCCACTCGACAGCAGATAAAATCAGCAACATGGACTACATAACCTACTTTTTCTCCTTGCTGCAAACGAGGCTAATTACCTCACTATGCTTAATGATGACCCAAATAGAGTTTGCCTCATTCTCATATTGTTTTATGAGAAGTGAGGTAAAGAGTTTTTCCTGCATGGCTTTGCTTTTATTTTAGCCTTCAAGTCAGTCTGCATGCTATTTATAACAATAGTTTCTACTGAGAATTCAGTTTTTTTTATTTGTAACTGTAATTTTATGGGTTTCCATTGAATGCAGTTAGTAGAAGTCAGACCTCTAAACCAAGATGTGGGAAATTCTTTAATCCAATACTGAATGAAGATCAGAAATTGGCAGTTAGAAGGATACTGAATGGTGCATGTCGACCAATCCCATATATCCTTTTTGGCCCTCCTGGAACTGGAAAGACAGTTACATTAATAGAAGCAGCGTTACAGGTAATATTAGTTGGAATACCATGGAACATCAAAAATAATGTATTTCTGAAGTTCTAAATGTGTAGTTATGAGTAGTAAAGTTCTAAAAGTATAAAATTATGTGGTATGGAACTACATTAACTGTTGTTAAGTGGTTAATAAATTGATCTCTAGTACTCTTATTTATTATGTTTAACTCATCAAAAATCAGTTAATTTATATTATAGAATCATAAAGTTTATATAAGAAACTTGAGAAATCTCAATTATTTCAAGCTATTCAATTATATTTGTTTTGTATAAATAGATGTAATTTAATAAACTTAGTTCATAGGACTTAGGAAAGTGTCTATTTGTCATAAAAGTTTACTGCAGAGTAACATTTCTTGCACTGGAGTGACAAAGCACTATTCTGCAGAAGTCTCTGATGTCCTTTGTATTTAAAATCAAAGATGGTGTGTATTTAGTATTTTGGTACTGTTCAGTACTTCAAGATCAGTAAACATGTGAGTGATTACTATTACAGTGCTCTGAGGTTAGGTGCACAGAAATAAATACGAAGCCGTTTCTGTGCTTAAAGACTAGTCTATTCTTTTTTTTTAATTTAATGTTTTTATTTTGGATTGAGTGAAAGTTTACAGGGCACATCATCAGCTTCACATTCAACCATTCATATAGCTTGTTTCATTACATTGATTATTATCCCCTCCATATATCATCAGTTAACAGGGTTTCTCTCTATCCTCTTTAGCTTTTTTTTTTTTTTTTTTTGGAGGGGGTGCGGGGGGAACTTGCCCTTTTGGAATTTACAGTCTCGGCTTTTAGGGAAGGTTTTTACATTTGTCTGTGGATATCCAGGGCTCATGTATGAAATTACTAACAAGCATACTGAATAATCAGATGAGGGACAGTTTGCTATAAAGACTAGTCTATTCTGAAGAACTAAAATAACGTTTCCAGGATTCTCTTAACTTTTAGCATTTCTGATACAGCAGAGCAATCATTTCAATTTTCTATTTGGCCTGAGTCTCAGAAAAGTTAAGTGGTCTATATCAAAGGCCATTTGAAAAGATGTGACAAATCAAAAATAATATCCAATCCTCTTTGCTGTAACCATCCCCTAAATTGGGCTGAACCCATCTAGATGAACATGATTTACATTAGGTATTAGACACGTTTCTATGATATGTTGTTAAGTGCCAACGATTCTGTTTTGACTTGTAGCAACCCTGTATATGGTTTCCAGGGAGCAGCTGATGGGTTTGAACCACCAACTTTGCAGTTTGCAGTCCAGTGCTTATCCTACAACTCCACAACAGGACCCCTAGTGATTATCTTTTTTTTTTTTTTCTGTCTTTGACAAAGGTGTATACCACTTTACCTGACAGCCGGATTTTAATCTGTGCACCGTCCAACAGTGCAACAGACCTTTTGTGTTTGCGGCTACATCAGACTAAAATGGTGTACCCTGGGATCATGGTCCGAGTAAATGCCCACTGCAGAAGTGAGGTAAGCACTGGGGTATTCAGCAAGACCTCAGTAGGGGTGCCTTCATGGAATATGAGGTGAGAAGTTTGTTGGGTAGGGGAAAGATGGCAAAGAAAATGCTTAACCAAGAATTTGCCTGTATCTGTGTCATAACTTATTATTCCATATATCTTAGTTCTGCATCTTTACTTATATTTTCATGTTATTTTCTAGAAACTATCAATTATACTATCATTCCTTCTTATCTGGAATTCTAAATGCTCTGCTTTTATATTATTCCTAAATATTCTCTTAACTCTTTGTTTTTTATTGATTCCCTTATAACTTAGAAAAAGTGGTAAGTCCCTTATTTTCTCATAAAAATCATTCATTATTTTCTAGATTCCCAAGTGTTTACTAAAAAGGTTAGAAATCTAGAAGATGAATGATAAAGCTAGTGTTGGGAAGGGATTTGTAGGATCGTATGTCATCTCTGTGTTTTTATTGTTGTGAAGTGCTGTCAAGTCAGTTCCGAACCATAGCGACCCAGGATAGGGTTTCTGAGGAGCAGCTGGTGAATTTGAACTGCCGACCTTATGGTTCAAACCAACCTTGCAGTCCAGCATGTTAGCCCACAGCATCACACATTGGGGGGAGGGGACAGCAGAACATCTTTCAGCCGTGTGTGTGGCTCTGTCCCATTTAAATATGTGCTTAATCATATGAAAAAAATAAAATTTTTCCCTCAGGTAATCAGTGATGCAATTAAGTCATATTGCAAAACTAGCGAAGATCTTCAGAAAGCCTCACGCTACAGGATAATACTTACCACCTGCAGCACTGCAGGACTCTTTTACCAGTTGGGATTAAGGTATTTAAAATGTTTGCAAAGCACCTCAGTTATAAACCATTCCATTACAGATGTCTGTCCTCTGAAAGCTCCTGCTATGGGAATGCTAACAATAACTTACAGTCATGTGGTGTCAAGGAACTGGGATGAGGAGAGGAAGCTCCTTGTGTATTGTGGTCAGGGATGTTCTCACTAAAGTGACATCTGAGGGACTCTTGAAAGAGGAAATGAACCCAACATAAGGGAAGTCAGAAAGAAAAGATTCCCAGACAGCATGATTAGCATGTGCAAAGGTCCTGAGGTCAGAAAATCTTGGCATCTTAAATGACTTACAGAGGCCTTGTGGCCAGAGCAGAGTATAAACAAGGGGAAACAGCAGCAGGAGGTAAGGTGGGAGTAAAAAGGACTTGTCACTTAGGGTTTTATAGAAAAAGTGGTTGTATTTCATCTCTGATTTACTGGGAGGCTGTTGAAGAGCTACCTTGTAAGATAGTTGAATGGATTGAAGGAGGGAAAAGGGGACTATTGTATGGTGAATTGGTTTAGTAAAATGATTGATGTTAGCAAAGTCAGGTAGTTCATTTCACAGAGTGTGTGCCTAGCGTTGTGGTGCATGCCATCACCTTTTGTTGTGGAAGATGTAGATACACAGCACAGCTCACAATATAGGCATGGTGCAGATCCATGAACATTTTGCAAAGGACACACACCTTAACTATATCTTGAAAATGGAAGTATACAACATATTCATGTCTCCTTTATGTGGCTTGAAATTTACAGATCCAGGCATGGTTGTGTTTTTTT